ATAGTTTTAAAATTTAGGAAACTGACACTTGGGAGTTTTATTCACTAAATGTGTATATAGATAGATCTTGTGCCTGCAGTCTCATTGCTCATTGTTCTGCAATTTTTGAGTTAAAAGGACACTATAGGCACCAACACTACTTCAGCTTAAAGAAGCAGTTTTGGTGTATAGATCATGCCCCTGCAGTCTTACTGCTCAATTCTCTGCCATTAGACAGTTGAATACATTGTTTACACAGCCTTACTCATACCTCCCTGCATGTGACTTGCACAGCATTCCCAAACACTTCCTGAAAGAGACAACTAATCTTTAAACATCCTTTATTGCGCATTGTGTGTAATTTATCATTTCTTATATCCTGCTCTGTTAATAGCATTCTAGATGCTCCAGGAACCTCCTGTGTGTTATTAAAGTTAAACCTACAGAGTAGAAGATAAAAACCTCTAAGGCAAGCTAACATCTAATTGAAAATTAAACAATTTTTAATGCAAACTGTGTCAGTCATAGCCAGGGGAGTTGTGGCTGGGGCTGCATAAACAGAAACAAAAGTGATTTAATTAGTAATTGGCAGAGAATTGAGCAGTGAGACTGCAGGGCATGATCTGTACACCGAAACGGCTTCATAAAGCTAAAGTTGTTTTGGTGCATATAGGTTCACTTTAAATCATTTTTGTTTCACAAAACACACACAGGAGGCTATGAACTGAGCAGGTGATAATAAATTCATGTACTTAAACCTTATCCTAGGAAACCAATTACAGAGTCTTCAAAACTTCCAGTCCTTCATCTCCAGAGAATTGTATAAGTTAATGTTTGGTGCATGTGGTCTATAAGAACTGAATGCACAATGACAATAATCCTAACACATAAAGTATACGGCAGACTGCTCTTGTCATTGCTGGTATTTGCAGTTAAAAACACGGTGACAGATTAACGTGTGGTACCACTTTTTTTTTTTTTTTTTTTTAAATGAAATGGAGAACGATTAAAAACCAGATTTAAAAAGTTGGCTTATTTATATTAAGTTTGAAAAACATCAGACTACTAGGGGCTAAATTTGGTTGTCATTTTAGGATGGTTAATAACTCCATTAGAGATAGCTCTCTTGACTTATTTAAAGTATGTGACTTCTGATTGCAGAATCAAAATGTACAGAACCATTTATATGGTTAGCAAAAGTGGGAATTCTTGGAAATTCTAATTGAATTATACATTTTAGTTCATAAGATGCAAATTGAAAAAAAAATCAGTCTGCTGTTTTATCAGTGTAGCAATTTAGGCCTAACTTTTTAAAATTAACTTAATTCCAGACCATTCACACTTTAGCGAATAAACCTTTGTTTACCCCCACCAAAAGTTTCAAATCTCCATGAAAGGCATTTAAACAGTTGGACAATCACCCAAAACATCTTTCTAAGGCATCCATGAAGCTATATGGCAAAAAAGGTTTTTCGCTGGGCAAAGCCATCAACCCTACCTAAAACATCTCAGCCTGTAAAGACTGAAGGTTAAAATACCACAAAATCAAACATGAAGTAAAAAGATGGCTGCTGTGTAGGCCTGGATGAATATCACCAGGAAGGATGCCATTAAGGTAATTCACTAAACTTTTTTCGCAAATTAAAGGAACACTATTGTGTTAAGAATACAAACATGTATTCCTAACACTATAGTGTTGGACTTCCTGTTTAGGTGTGCCCCACCCCCCGAGTAAGACGTTAAAAAAGGTAGTTTACTTACCTTGTCTCCATTGCTGTGCTGGTCTCGCCATGGCTAAGATTGTCCGTCTTTATGAGCTCAGTCAATCCAATGCTTTCCCATCGGAAAGCATTGGAAGACTATTGTGCATGCTGCACCAATCAGCATCTCCTATATACAGTGAGCGTTCAGCGTCTCCATGCAGAGCGTGGAGTCGCTGAATGTAGGTGCTGCATACAGTGCAGCATTAAGATAGGAAGCAGCTCTTTAGGCCGTCTGACTGCAACTGAAAAGGCGTTTTCATTGCTGAACCTGCAGGAGCATTCTATAGACACCAGAACCACTACATTAAACTGTAGTTGTTCTGGTGACTACAGTGTCCCTTAAAACTCAAATTGCAAACCTGAGACTAAAATAACCCTAGAGCCGAGTTAGAGAATTTTACCATCGCAGCTAACTAAGCCTCAATTATAGTGACTTTAAGTTCGTTTATTTCATACTTTAGCAACCAGTTACTGAATATGACATCTATCAACTATGTCTGGTCTCTGAAAATGGAGGGACTGTGTACAAAAAGGTTGTAATTCCTATACAGTCTATTGCTGTAAATAATGTCACACAGAAGCTAAAATTCTGTATTTTATACTCTTAATCGTGGAATCAAATCCAATGTGCAGGAGGAACAGCCAAAACAACAAATTGTGTATCACTATTCAAATACGTATGGATTAGGCCGTATTTTTAATTAAAATATATATATATTAACTCTAGCTCTTTCTTAAACTAGGCAAAGGCCACTTTTATTGTTGTTTTTTTTTAAGGGTTACATCAGAAATCGCGAGTTTCACGCTGTCCTTTTTCTGTAATAATGGACCTCCAGTCTTCGAAGTAGACTTTGCTGGAGGCAGTGGGGACTTAACATTTCCTTGTACTCGGCTATCCTGATTCTGCTCCCAATTATTTTAACCCATGTAAGATTGCAAATCTGTGTATACTACCATTATGGAAAGAGAGGGGGCTGATGGGGGCTTGGTGAGCAAGTGATTAATTGTCTGGATTCTGAGGTCTGTTTTTTTTTTTTCCTTTCCAGGGATTTTTAAGAAAGAAACATTGTTTTCTGTCACTTTCTTTCCAGCTCTGGATAAGATGCTGACAGATTTGAAGGCCCCTCCCAGAGAGCTTGGGTAGGGGAGAAAAGGGTGGAGAAAGGGTGCTGGAAAAAGGAGGTAGAATGGGACTGAGGTTGGGAGGGTGTGGAAATAGGGGGAGGAATGGGACAGAAAGAAAGAGTAAATTTAGAAGTGTTGGGGGGGGTCTGTGCCTCTCCCTTGTTAGCTCTGCAAGGCAGGCATGCTGAAGACCCACTATATATACTGTAGCCCGAATAGTAGAAGGGGCCTTTGGAGGCCTTTATATAGTTTTACAACTGCTGTCTTGTGAAATAAGGTGCTAAATCAAATCAGTTCCCCAAAAAAATAATGAGTTTGAAGCCCAGTGGTTATATAGGCTGGCAAGATCATGTTGAGACAAATTAATTTGCACATTTCACTGCCAACGTAGCGCTCTGTTCGCCCTCTTCTAGCACTGCATCCTTCCTTTGTTATGAACATAGCGCCCTGCAGTATGCATGTCCCAATGTCCGATATATCCACTCAAACACTCAACTCACAGGGCTTTGCTATCTCAGCGCAAGCAATTCTTGCATTTCTCTCTATAACACTTTCACAACTTACCTGCTGCTTCTATATATTCTTAATAAATAAAATATTTTCAAAAAGATATATCATTGGAAAAACCTCTTTATTTCTCATCCATTTTCCTATCTAAAAAAAAAGGTGACCAGGTGGTTTACGAAATGAAATGCTGCATTCTGCAGAGTGACATTTGTTACACATTACTTATGTTTTATTTTATTATAAAAGTGTTCTATCTTTTCAAGTGAGAGAGTTTTATCATAAATACTACCACTTGATACTTCACTTGAAGAATAGACTCGATTCAGTTAATATACTATGTTTTGTCCACATATGTTTTTTTTTTGTTTGTTTTTTTAAGTAGTGGTGCCTAATTTTTATTTATTTTTTTAATTGTGTGTTTGTTTAGTGACATTCTATGTATCCATAGCACAATAAATGTACAGGATAAAAAAATTGTTATATTGATAAGAGTTGGTTGATCCTCCAAATATGGAACCTGTTAAAATTTAGGACAGTGTGTTCAGAATCCACCTTCCAAGGTTAATACTATGAGCAGCATAGAGTTGGTTAATACTAATAGTTATCTGCCGATTCAGTTAATCCATGAAAGACAATATATATATATATTTGTACTGCCTATTATAATTGACCTGAGTTTGGTTTTTTTTAATATATATTCTAAATTGATAACACAAAATTGTAAAGTGAGTGATAAACTTACAAATTATGGTAATCAGCATCTTAAAACACTTGTGATGAGTACCTTACTTCCCTCACAAAAACAACCAAAATTACAATATTTAAGTGCAAACGCTTATAACACAAAGTGGAGTTCCATGCAGGAAGGAGGTCTACCCTTTTGCAATATACAGTACAACAGAGAGGTCAATGCAGCAACGCATATAAAATAGGAACATATATATATATATATATCTATATATATCTACCATCTTAACTGTATTTTGTTCTTTCTCTTCTTATTTTTTTTGTTTTGCTAACTTTCTAACTTTGGCCTCTCGGTTGTAAAACGATAAGCAACTCCTGCCTGCATGGAACTCCACTTTGTGTAAGCTTTTGCACTTAGAACATAGAGATATATATATATATATTCTAAATGACTTATTGTTAAATTTTGAGTAATTCTAATATAAATAATCAAAAAGTAATTGTATAATGAATAATAGTCCACCCATTTGAATGGTACTTCATTATAGTATATGGAGGAATTTGAAGGTAAAGCAGTAATAGATTTATCACCAGCAATACAATATGACCCACAGGGAAGAGTACAAATTAATCACTCCTTCTGGCACTCCGAGAATAAATGCAGTGACTATACAGACACCAAGAGAATAGGCCTGGTCAACCTACCATAAATCAATACCATTCCCTTTCTAGAAGCCATTGTTCAGCTTCATTGATAAGATCCTCATGGTAGGAGAACTGAATTGCAGCACTGTCCATCCTCTGTCTTGAAAGCTTAAGTTTACATTGCTTGCAATTGCTACATACAGGCAGGCACATTGGACGGCTGCAAGAAGTTTGCAGCTGTTAAATGGCTTGCAGTGCATTGGTCTGGCAGCAGGGGGGTTAAATGAGTCAGCCCACAATCCAACCTCTACTGCACTTCCATTCCAGCAGCAGAAGGGTTAACCTTGGCCCCATTCCCTCAATTGTCCATTGAGTAGACCTTTTTAAATAAGTGTCAGTTTGCAGGGGTAGACTCCTCCCCTATATTCTGGCTGGGGATCCTACTGTTGCAGGTCCGCATTAGCAGTTTACCCAGGAAAGGAACAGGATTTCTTGCAGATCCAGCAAGCAAAGGGGAGCATCATATGCCCTCCCCTTCTCCCCCCACCCACCACCAAAAATATTTTTTTTAAAAATAAAAAAAATCAACGATCCAGGACATTCTAACAAGAAGACTATAAGAGCAGGAGAGGAAACTGATCTTTTATCAAACTAGGAAATCTCTGCACTTTTACTGGAGCTCTGATTTGATTTTTATTTTATTTTATTTTTTTCTATTTTCCTACAACTTTTGGAGAAACTTCAGACTTTTGGCACGTCCACCCTTTTTCCCGGATTGTAGAAAGAAACTGCAGCCTGATCGTGTGGCTGGGACTGAAGAAAACAAGGGGGAGTTGGTTACAGTTTTGGGAAGTTTTTGTCGGTTTCTAAAGTTGGGGGTCGCTGGATTTTAAGGGGTGATTCCCCCACGTTTGTTTTTAGGCCTTTGTCTTCTTTTCTTTTTACACAAACATATATATTTGTTGATTCAGAGTGGGGGGGGGGCAATGCAGAGCAGATTGTAACATACAAAAGACATTCTGTTGCCGAAAGAAAACATCTCATTCCTAAGGAGCCTGCAGGAAGTTTGCTCTGAGAGGGAGGGGGGAGAAGCCTGACTGTGCTGAGGGGGGAGGGAAGCTGTGCAGTGTTATGGGGGGAGAGCCTGCCTGTGCAGTGGGGTGGGGGGGTTAAGACCCTGTGCAGTGAAGTTGGGGGGGCTGTGCAGTGTAGAAAGGCTAGCGTCCGGGGGAGAGAGGCTTGCTGTGCGCTGCTAGGGGGGGTGGGAGAGCGTTTAGGTGGAGGGGGTCATCTATGGGTATTAGGTTTTAAGGGTGGGGAGTTAGTTGTTCAACGTATGGAGGTCAAATTGGTTTATTAGCAGTTGTCTTTTGTAGTTTAGTGATTCACTCACTGTATACGATTTCGGGAGTTTTTTTATTTATTTATTTTTTAATCGAGTGCACAGTTTGTCATAGGGTTTTTTTGTTGATTATTTAATTTTTTTTTTTTTTTGGTGGATCTTGCGATTGGATTTTACTTTTTTTATTCCTTCTGTTTTTATACTTTAATTTTTTTTCATTTCCTGGGAGAGTGCTCCCTGCCGGTGGGGTACCATTATGCCGCAGTTAAACAGCGGCGGGGGGGATGAGCTGGGGGCCAATGATGAGCTGATCCGGTTTAAGGATGAAGGGGAGCAGGAGGATAAGAGCCCCGGAGAGGGATCTGCAGAGGGGGACCTGGCAGACGTCAAATCCTCGCTGGTTAACGAGTCCGAGAACTTGAGCAGTGACTCCGACTCAGAGGTAAGCAAGCCAATGTGTAATTAGGACTTCCCAAATTCTGCTAGGAATACTGACTCGATAAAGAAAAAGTAGCTTTAAAAATGAATGTATAATATAGTACCTATTTCTATATGGATATATTTGTCCCCTTAATTTGTTTTCAGTAACTATATTGTGAGATACATACTGAAACAGAAGGGTTCTATAGACTGCATGTGAGTTTACAATGGAACGTTTTGTTGTCCAGTAACTTTTGCTCTGTTTTTTAAACTCCCTAGTCTAGCAATATGCAAAGCTGTGTAAATGTGAACTGTACTTCATATTTACACAATTTTGAGATTTCTCCTCACACAAATGTCAAATGTTTTATTCTTGAGATATCCACATTTCAGCCCTTGCTTAATGCAGGCACGCTGGATCTCCTGGCCCATGTCAGACTAATGCACATATGGCAATATTAAGGAAAGTGTTCGTTTAATGTATTTTTTGCTCTCACATATACAGGTGGAGAGACGTCCCCCTCCAAGAGAAAGCTTTGAGAAACACAGGGATTACCTGTCTGAAGGTGAGTTATCTTTTTAAATGTATTCTGTGCCTGTAGCTGATTTTGGATTATTCATATTGTATCTGTGGCAGACTTAGATTTGTTTATTTGTCTAGGATATTTTTCCTATAAGTATAAATCCTTTCTTTTTTTTTTTTTTTATCATCACTTCAGGTTTATTGTAAAATATGTGAATATTACATAATTTTTAAAAAAATTGCATCCCATAAGCTCAGTGTGTGAAGGGTGGCTACTGTATTTATTAAATCCATTTTAATTTATTAAACCAACTGCAATAATCCCAGGTCTAATATGTTTAGATTGCAATAACCCGCAATGTGATGACAAATGAGAACCGCTTTGTCCCCAGTACTCATTCAAAACTAAGGGCTCTGTAAATAGCAGAGCACATGTAAAAATAAAGTTTAGTGTCCACTCAATTTTGTGGCCACCTCTTTGTATTTAGAATTTCTTTTTTACTTTACCGAGATCATTTCTTTCCAGCCTTTGCCACATATGCTGGGAGGCATTTCTTGCCATATTTTGCCTTTTAAGGAATGGTTCAAACAGATGGTATTGCCTTGTTTCCTGTACGTTTTTGTTGTGCCAGTATGGCATGTTGCAGCTCTTTAAAGTATTTGCGCTCTGTCCTGACACATTTCTTATGTTCATCATGAAAACCTTGTCTACATCCCCCTCCTCCCCCTCAAGTATGGCACATTTATTTCTGTTTTAGGCTGGAACTTTCTCTAGCCAGCATTTTAATAAATGTGTCAAGTTTCTGATAAACCAATCTTTTTTTGAGTTTAATTTTAATACAAGAGGGGTAGCAGCTTTTTGAGTCCCTTGATTTTCCTCTACTTGTGCTGAGTGTATTGATTAATAGTTCTTCTTATATAATCCAGTGTTAAAATGCATACTGTAAAGCAAATTCCCAGCATGCTTTTCATGTCCACGTGCTATTGGTGGGAGGGCTTCCCCTTTATTGGTAGGGAAGCCTTAAGAGTGTATTAGAAAAACCTGGCAGTGATTTGCACTATTAATACATATACTCTAAATGCCTTTTTGGCACTCTGTCCTCTTTAATAGTAATGTGTGTACATTAATATTGAGATTGGTTGGTATAGCAGTTCTGACGGGTAACCATGGCACTGCCAATGTTGGTAAACTAGCATCCATGATGACTTAAGTATATGCTAATAAAATAATATGGGTTGATTCTTGTTTTGTGCGTTTGTTTTCTCCTATTCTAACCTGTACACTTCCTTCAAAAATATGGTGTTGCTAAAAAAAACTGTGTTAAGGTGGTTCACATTCCACCCCCAATAATTGGTTCATTATTGGTAATTAATGTGTCAACCTCTGACCTGTAGTGTCCGCATTACATTGTAAATATAAACAAAATTGCTGATTTGGGATGCTTTTCATTTAATTTCTTGTCATGCCTGTAATTTATTCTATTTTTTTTCTGCCATTCTAGCATTCAGAAGACAACACCAGGATGCAGCATTCTTCAAAAGCCCTCCCTACGCTGGGTACCCATTCTTGATGATTCCAGACCTTGGGGGGCATTATTTGCCCAATGGTGCTCTATCACCTAGTGCCCGAGCGGTAAGAAAATTTTAAATCTTATCATTATCTGCCTGAATGAAGTGGCTGTGTGTACATATCCTTATACCACTCTTTCCATAGGCAGTATTACTCTTTAGTATACATGGATTGTTCTCTCCTTTTGTTTTATTATGCGTTCCATGTAATTCAATGTTTTGGTTTTTAAATTTAGGGTTAGAAATGTGAGTGGTTGAAGAATTTTTTACTGCCCCAAGTTGCCTTGCTGTAATTACTATATTTAATATAATTATATTTACCAGAAAGATTTGTGAGTCTCCAATTTAAATATTCTCCTGAGCTGTGGATTTGCTTTGTGTTTTTACATTTTCATTTGATAGTATGAAACTTGTATGTATTAATCTATCCACTCTGGTATATGTGTTGTATTAGTTTAGTATGATTTTTGATAGTTGAACAACACTAATTTCTTACCTAATTTAGTACTTTTCTGGCAATTTGATATTCTCACCAGTAGAATGCCTTGTTTTATGAGAGCTGCCTCATTTGCTGGACAGTAAATCAGATGTATTTATTTGCATGAAAATCTGCATGGATACATATTTGTTCATGTTTCTTTTTTATCTGTTCTACTATAAAACTTGAGATGGATATAGATTTTTATTTTTTTTGGAATGTGTTTTAAATTTATTTGTATAATTCGAGCATGTGCGTAAGGCATTATATGGCTGGCTTAACACCATATATACAAGGTGTATTATGTTCAGCAACTGTATACTTTTATATTATAGGGTAATAGGCATTCATTGTTTGGAAATCCCTGTATTTTAGACCTTGATCAAGTTCTGATACAAAATGTGTGGTTTTTCTCCTGAATCCATTTTATTTTTCCCTCTCTAAATTATCGAACCTAAAGTCACTACATTGTGATTGTTTTCATGCATTTGTGATTCTTTCATACAAGGTGGGTTTTTTTTTTCTTGCACCAAAGCATTTGAAATATAAGAAGAAAACAAGGATACAATATCTCCCCCTGAAACACACATTCTTACTACCATTATTTTAAATTTATAATGCCACTATCTATGTAGAATATCTGAGTGTATGCAATGGTTATAGATAGTGAATAGTTTGTTTTGTTGCCTTTTATTCCCCTATAATAGGGTTAGCAGCCTTCCCAATTCTGAAATACACTACAGGAAGTGCTCCCAGAGTGAATTTAATGGGAAGTTACTTTCGCCCACCTCCATCCTGTTGATAAATCTTACTGTCACCAATTCAGTCAAAGCTGCACACTCTCTGTAGAATTGAAAATAACTCTCTAGTAGTGGAGCATTTTGGGATACTTAACCCTCCATATGTCTCGGACCAGGCGAACAGCTGGACTAGAGGTGTCCTGCTACTATTGGACTAAAATACTAAAAATTTCATCAGTTTTTGGACATCGTTTGTATAAAACGATTGTATTCTTATTTTATTTTTTGTATTTGCATAGTATTTTATCCCTTTTTCCCCCCTCTTGCTGCATTCTTCTGTTGCTGATTCAAAATTTTCAAAACAGAGTTTCTCATCACCCCTACTAGTTTTGTAGGTAGCCTGATGCTTAAGGACTGCATATTCCAGATGGAATCTTATCGTTGGAGTTTTATAAAATGTTATAATTTATGTTCCAATGACACTTGATTATTTTCTGGTGACATATTGCACACTCTTTTCCTAAACTCATTCTCATGTAGTGATGTCTGTAATTAACTAAACTATGTTTACTGTAGTAGCTGCACATTTATACATTTTGCAAACAAATATTAAACCCAAATAGACTGACTATTTCATCTGACACCTGCCTACCCAGATTCCTAAATTATCTGAATCACTCTGTAGAGATGTAACCATTTTGGTTGGACTCCATAACTTTATTTAATAATCTTACACATGCCATTGAAATACATGAGCCACTGCTTTTTTTTTTTTTTTTGTGTGTGTCCTTTTTAGGTGACCCAAAGTAAAAGACACTCAACTGCTCAAATACAAACAATATCTCACTATTTAGTGGATATACCCCCAATGAAAATGTGTATGCATTTAATTGTTTGTAGGGATTTTTTTCCTTTCCTTTCTGGGCAATTAGTGCCTCTGGAGTTTAGTTCCACCGAGCTAGACAACCAGGAAGTTAACGGGACCGCTTGTCTGACAGCTAGGGGGTTTAACCAGGTTAATTTATAACAGTGCCAATTTTCTTTTGAAATCTGCCCTTTTTTGTAAAATTAATGGGGACCAGGGCACACTCTTCACACATAAAGCATTTCAGAAAGTCAAAGTGCTTTAGTTGTTTAGAGTATTCCTTTAAGTAAAGTGGACTCTGAACAAAGCCTTGAGATCCTCCACTTACCTTGGGTATTTTCCATTTTATCCTATTTATGAATGACATTGTGCACAAGTTTAACTTTTTAAAATAATTGCTCATTAAAACTGGAATAACATCTACTCAAAGCATAAGGCCTATATAACTTTTATGGGATGCCTCATGGTAAGTGTCTTTACCATAGAGTGCAGTATTCAGTTTCACAAAAACTAGTAATGTAGATTAAGAACAGGAAAATATTTATGGGTTGCAGGATGGGCCAAAGATCCATACATAATGTAATTTATTTGTTATGTATATGTGTGCTAAAATTTGTAGACACACGTGTGTGTGTGTTTTTTTTTTTTTTTAACATAATCTTTGTTATTGATGCTGTTTTTGGCGGATAACATTTTCTGTGTTAATAGTGGATCTTGAGATGCCTTATCTTATTACCTTTTTGGCCCTCATGACATTGTTAGCCAGGAGAGCTTCCCTATATTTGGTATGTTTCACAGTTATGGCTCTACATATTCGTTGAGTTTGTCGTCTTGGAACTTTTAAATTTTTTTTTTCTTCTTCTCTAGTTTGTTTTGTTGATTTTATACTATGCTACATAGGAAAACAATTTTTACATTGACTGACTGTATTATGCATTTTTCCTTGTTTGTACCTATTAGAACACTTATAAGAAGACAAAATAATACAGCACAATGCATGAATTTTGCTGTGCTGTAAATGTTTTGGAAATGTTTGTACAGTAAAATAAACACATTCCCACCATGAAAAGAACAGGCACAGCAAGTTACTTTTATTCTGTCCAGAGACAGAGGCATGTTTCATTTTTATTATCCATATGGTATACAATTAACAAAAGAAACCTATGGTAAATAACAGGAGAAAATTTTGAAAGATACACATTGCAAATAATGTACAAGTGTGCTTGTCCTGCAAGAACTTGCATTAACGAGATTAATATTTGTGTTGTCTCTGGTAGGTAATGTGCTAGATTGTTGATATTCAGAGGGATTTGGGTTTCTATAGTTTTTGCAAATTGTTCCTATCTTGTTCTTTTGGGGATTATGTTCATTCAACTGTGAATTGTAGGGAGTTCAAATCTTCAAGGTTTGAGCCTAAATATCAAATTTCAAGTGAGCCTTTTAAAAAAAAAAAAAAAATTTTTACTTTGCTGTTTTGTCCTAAATTTTGCAACCCTTTTGGCTATGCACTGTTTAGTGAATGACCTAGTGATGTGCCTATATTTGAGCTGCTGCATTCCACTGGAAGCAGAAGTCTCTTCTCTCACCACATTGTCATGAATCTACCATTTGTTTCTTAGTTTGAGCGTTAATGGGGACGTCTTTACAATGTTTTACCCTGTATTCAGATTTTGCCCTTGACACACTGCTCCTGCGGCTTTAAATCTGTTCATCTCTCCTCCTCCCCCCCACCCCCCTTCTAAAGACACAACCTCGGGATGGAAATTGCTAAATATATCTTAATAATGATACAGGATAACTTGTGGTCAGTCAGGTCACTGGGCCTGCGACACCTTTCCAGTGCTTACTCTTTTCGTCTTCCACAACATGTGCCAGATATTTAAAGTTCCTCTTGGAATGCATACGGCAGATATAGTCCTAGAGTAAGCCTGTGGTGTTTTACTTGGAGACTGGCGGGGGGCTGTGTGCCCGCACTGTGCCCATAGCCGTGCAGGACGATGTGTTCCTCCCCTCAAACAGACCTGGCATTGTTTCCTTTGCATACGCTGTCTCGTATTCGTGTTTATTTTGTGCCTGAATGGTGAATTATCAGTGCACAGAAAAAAATGTGAAACTCTGTGTAGGGGGTGGGGACATATAAACACTGCCTTTCATGGAGAGCTGGTTTGACCTCCTATTTTAGTGGTCTGTCTGGTGATTTAAAAAAATAAAAAATGAAATAGGTTATATTACATTTTGCTTATTTTTCTTTCACTCTGTAAAACATGTTTTTTAAACAGGCACTTTCTATAGATCTATAGTCTGTGGTGTCCTTTGACAACTTCAGTTTGTAGAATACATTTTTGGGGGAAAAGGGATTGGGTTTCATGACGAGAAATTAACTTAACTCCGGTAGCTGAATTGCATATGTCTTACTGACATCTGTGGGGAAATTGTCATCTATTTTTCAGAGATATGCCTATAATAGCATCTAGCCTTGGGAAAGGAAACAGTGGCCTTAAGTATATGCATTTCCTTCTTGTATTCAGGTTTATCATATAGCTGAAGTTGGGAAATGGGAGGACCTTCCCTATTTGAAGGAACACTCTAATTTAAAAAAAAAAAGTGTGTAGGCAGGCACTGTTTCGGAGTTCTATTATTATCGCACGTTTAAAAAAAAAAAAAAAATTTTTTTTTTTAATGATTTTACAGAGTGTGGAGGCTCCCCCTAAACTGCTTACCTCTCCTCCCTCTGCGACGTCATGTTGGACATATGGCCTCCTTCACCTATGTCCATTGCTTCTCATAGAAGCACATTGGAGCTTTCATATGCATGCACACATCTGTGCGCATTTACAATTCCTAGTAGATAAGCACTGAATCAATGATTTTATATAGGGCTTCTGTATCACGTGACCGCATTTAACTCGGTTACGGTAGCAGAAACGTCTCAAGTGGCTGTTATACTGAGAGCCACTAGAGGACTTTAACCTTTCCGATGTAAACGTTTCAGTTTCACAAAACTTGCATGGTTTCCATTGCAGAGATAAGAGGACTGGGACACTGCATTAAGGCCATTTCATTGAGACTAAGTGGTGTGGGTGACAAATCGTTTATTTTATACAAAATGGTTTTGGTGCTTAGACTGTCCCTTTAACTGAAGAGAACTGTGGACGATTAATTAAAACAGATTTTCACTAAGGCACAAGTTAAACTAGTATGTGTTGCCAAGGTACACAGGTGCTGCATAGGACACTTACAGGACCACATTTAAAACCACATGAATAAGCTCCCACTCCACGCAAACACTGTCTAAAAAGAACAGGATTTACACTGAAAAATCTATATATTGTTTGGCAACACACTTTTGTATTTTTAAAAAGATTTTTTTTTTTTAAACTCCTTACATTGAACAGAAGAGTTCTATACACAGTGCTTTTCAAGAGATATACTGTGTATGCTACATCAGAAAAGGAAACATTCTCTCCATAACAAGTTTTTGGGCTCTGTGGGATCTATGTTTCTGTATCCTGGCTGTTTTATTCAGGGGTTTGGGCACTACCTGAAGTCTTGGCTACATCTGTGTAGTGAAAGTGATAAAACTGTAATTCTTAGGTTTAGTTTATGACACTTTTTTTTTTTCTTGCCAAATGAATAGGGGATGGTTTTCAGTTGAATATTTGAAGATGTATGGATAGTAGATTCCTGGAAATTGTAAATGTTCACACAAAAAGGGGCCTCAAAACTGATTGAGATGTACCTAAGACTAATTTTCGCTATTTGTTGTTCAGGATAAACTAAGGAAACTGTGTCAATAACGTTAGCTGGTTCACTCAAGCTAGTGCGTTCCACTCGCCCTGTATTGCTAGAGAAGGAGGGCTCTTGTTATAAGAAGATCACTCCTAGTTTAATCATTGTTCGTAAGGGATTTTAATACAGTGCTTTGAAACCAGTTGTTTCTCAACTACCACAGGATGACTGAGAGCGTAGAAATGCATATTTATATGAAACTTACTTTCCTTCATATAGTCCAGCACAGAGATACTCCCTTTTTCTAAGCCAGATCCACCTTCATTGAAGTCCTCCATTGTGATGACTTTTGTTTGTCCAGTCTGATGCTTCTTGTTAAGGACACATTGTCCAATGCTTACCATAAAAGACCCCTAGATGCACCCAGTATCTTGCATCAGAATGCTCTACATGTTGACACCAGACATAAAATAGATTCAGTAGGTGGGGGCACGGAGTCTGACGGCAATGGCAACTGGACATGTTTTCTAGGAGCTCCTCCAGTCCCAAATGAGTTTGTCCAGTTGTCAGCGCTTTTGGCCCTTTTATATTCAGATCAGATTAAACTACCTTGACATCCTGCATTGCTTGGCCCGCCTGTGGTTGCCGAAAAGGGAATCTGCATCATCTGTGAGTGAGGCCTCGCGTGCGTTGTGACAGGGAGAGGCGGCCGACCTCCCGACTGGACGTGCATTGACCCGTGCTTACATGGAGTTTCAGACCCTTTTCTCTACCCTATGGGCAGGCGGGGGAGATCCCGGTCCCCACCATGAGAGCTCCCTACCTCGGCAGCTCACATGTGGCGTAACACTCCCAGAGGCATCTACGACCAACTCACCCGCAACGAAGGCGACCGCATGTCCCAGGCTGCAGCTGAGGGTGGGGTCTGGAGCACTGACACAGCTAAACTGCGTCCGCGAGGAGTTCTGGCAGGGATTGCTGAACCACTATCTCCAGCCTACCCAGAGAGCACTGATGAATTGCACGCCTGCACAGCGACCCCGAAGAACCAGGAACCCACACACGGCTGCAGACCCACAGAAGAACCGCCTCAAGAGGCGCAAACCGTGCTAGAGGCGCACAGGGAGAGCAGCGCACATGCCTATACCCCAATGCCGACATAGATTTCCCGGGAGGTTTCAAGCGGGGAAAAAAAAGCAAGTGGCACAGGGCCTGTTACACGATTCAGGTGCTACCTCATTGTTTCCTCAGACCCCTGGTCCGCCGACTAGCGCCATAGTGAGGGGCTGTGTTTTGCCCATGGCTGGCATAGGCTGACAGGCACTTAAAAGGCTGTGCTTTAGTCCCCACTTAGCCTTATCTGTCATAAAAATCGCTTGAACTTTTCTATTACCCTTTTTAGCTGAAATAATATGCTCTGGTTAATCTTTCAACCCCTGTTTTTTTTTTTGTTTTTTTTTTTACTGAGCAAGTATCTTACTCCTTGTAATTTATAAGGCTCTGGACTCTCCCACCTTTCTCTATCAGAGCTCTTTGTGGTGGAACTCTTTGTTAGACACTCGGTTTGTTCTCTCTTGTTTTATATAAAAATGTGCCGATCTATTGAATGCCATACAAATGTCTCACTATGTTTAAAACATAACTTGCTCTAGCTGTTGTGGCACAGTAAGGCTGTTGTACTATCTATGCACAATTAAAAATAAAGAATAAAAAAAAATATATAGATTCAGTAATTGTGTCCGATGCCCTGACTGGCAGTCACTAGTAGGTGTGGCCATTACAAAATGTAAACCGTGACCTTTCTCAGAAACTGTACTTTTAATTTTAAGCTAGGGGGACAGCATCTATGGTTCCAGATCACTTGATTAAGATGAACATGAAACCTTGTGTTGCATGTGGTGTTCTTGTGTGTATAATAATAATTGCTTCTACTGAAACCGCAAACTTCAATTTTTTTTTTTCTTTTTATTGAATATGGCTTGTTTACAGAGAATTTAGTGCTGTAATATTATGTGCATACTTGCATTGTCTTTAAACAATTTATGTAATTTTAGCAATAGAGTATCTCTCTAATATTTTTTTTATTTTTTTTGGTGAAGTATTTTGCAATTAATATATATATATATATATTATGACCTGCCGAATATGGGGTACTTTGACATAGTTGGCAGGCTTATGCAATGTATGATCATATAATGTAACTAAACCCCCATCTTTTTTTACCTAGGTGAGGTGTTTTTAAATAAAACTATTACAATCTCTAAGATTTGAAATCATTGTTTAGTGAGTAAGCGAGTGCGCTGTATTCTGGATTTTGTATATTTTGGCCCCAGCAGCACCCTATAATGTATGCATGTTCAGGTGAGTGCAGCCCTCTTGGTTTTGTGTGTGTGTGTGTGTATATATATATATATTTATATTTGTTGCTGGCAGTATGTGATTTTACATTTGCACCCTTTGTTTTGCATATAGACTGTGTTTACAATGCCTGTGGTCAGCCGCCTATGGCACGTGTGCAATGCATGGTACTCAGGTCTGCCGGAGACAGGCAGGCATTGGCCTATCAGGAGTCCCAGTGGGACTTCAGATATCTGCTAGTGCAACCTGAGCGGTGATTGCAGGTGGTGAGGGACACTTTTCAATTTCCACACTGCAGCACTTAGAGGAAGTGATCTCTGATCACTTCCTCCCTGCACTTGTGACTGGAATCCGCACTGGAGTAGAACAGTCCACAGCAGCTATCACAGCTCATGCCTTTGGCCTGTACCTGGCCAGCCCAGTCTCCACTGCACCCCAGGGAAGCCACCCGCATTGCTAGATATACACAGAGTTGCGGAATAAGCCTCCCCCTCATTCAAATAATACACATCGTCCCCACAAACACAACACCACTAAAAATCCACATACACGCTCACAAGCAGCCGCTCACATTTAATACCATAAGCAGCCCTACATATACACACACCACTAAACACACAATGTGACATCCAGACACAATTCAACAAGCAGCCTCCTTACACGCCCACATTAACCCCTTAACGACGAGTGACGGACAAGGTCCGTCACTCAGGGGAAAGCGTTAATGACGAGTGACGGACCTTGTCCGTCACTCGTTAAAATTAACCCCTGAATCGCCGCGGTGCCAGCAATCGCGGGCTTAACGCTGTTGCTGGGTGCCTCCGAGTCAGGGGCAGACCAGCAGCAGCACATCCCAATATCCCAGCCCATGTGATCGCTGTGACAGCCAGTCACAGCGGTCACAATGCTGCTGGGATATCTGATTCGCCTCCCTCCACCACGTGTGGGTTTGTGAAGTGGAGAGAGACAGATCGTTGCAACATTGTTTCCCAGAAGAATAATTAAGTTCTATTAAAAGTTCCTAATCCCTTTCCCCTTTATTAAAAAAAAAAAAAAAATGTAAAAAAATTAACCCTTTCCCTGCTGCTTGATCACGGTTTTAAAATTTTTCACACCCAGGCCGAATAAGTAGACCAGTTTTGGGGTGTGATTTTTTAGTCATCTGTCTGATTGGTTACCGAATCTTGGCTTTGTCTCCCGCTTATCCTGTCTTCTCTGATCCTTGACCTCGGCTTGTCCTATCGTTGTTCCGTTTCTCTTTACTCCTTTGACCTCTGCTTGTAGCTTGACAATTCTCTGCTTGTATAGCCCGGCCATTCTAAGGACCGGTATTACAAGTTTCTCTCTCTGTGTTCTCTCTCTCTCTTTGTGGTCTGTCTTTTTTTGGTTTCGGAATCCATGACCGCTTTGCCCAGGATGCAGATGACTGGGTACTACCCCCGGATAAGTTTACCACAACTATTCCCCCTTTTCACAGCAAATAGTATGCACTTGTTCATAATTTGAATTGATGAGCTGCTTATACTTAAAAATATATGTGGCCTTTGAGAGGTAATTTGTTGTCCTGAGCTGCTAAAATGAGACTTGGGCCCAGCATCCACTTTTGAAAAATATGGAAGTGGCGTGTCTCCAATGTGCCCCTTCAACATCCACAGAACCCTGAGAAAGGTACACATGGGGGTATCGTTGCACTAAGATGACATAGCTGAGCAACATATTAGGTGTTATACTGCCGTAGCACACGTAAGGATAGCAAAATATACAGTAACATCTCCAAGTGTGTGTCAAAAAGGCAGAAAAATGCTAATTGCAACTAGACTTGGTACAAACTAACAAAAAAAAAATCCTACACTAAGGTGTTAGAATATACCTTTTGAAATACCCTGGGGTGTCTACTTTAAAAAATGGTAGGCCTTTGTGGGGTAGTTTTGAATTTAAAACCTGCTAAGATGCTTGGAAATTGCACATAGGCCCAGCGTCAAAATTCAAAGTTCGTTAAAAACTGATATGGCTTGGTCTCCTATATGGCACTGTAGCTTCACAAAATAGTGCCAAAGACATACAATGGGGGTGTCCCTTTACTCAGAAGACTTAGCTGAGCATAATGTGGGGGGATTGAACTTAGTGGCAAATGTGAAATATACAAAATGCCCAGTAAAAATGCAATCCATATGTAAATACACACAAAATTATTTTTTACCACATACTTTTGCATCTATTAGTGAAAAAATGGGGTCATATTAAGGCAGAATATGCGCCTTATGAGATATCCTGGAGTGTCTACTTTTACAAATGGTAGGCCTTTGTGTTTTGTTTTTTTTGAACAGTCAAACTGTTATAATACCCCAAATGGAAGCATAGGCTCTTTAAATCCGTCTCTCAAAATTCTACTGTGAGTACTGAAAAGGACAGGTCTCTGTAGCTTCACGAAATAGTGGCACTGTAGCTTCACGAAATAGTGACAAAGACATGCAATGGGGGGGTCATTTTACTCAGCAGCATATGTAACTGAACACAAAATAAAACTTTGTACAGGGATAGCACACACCAACTTTACAAAATACACACAAGAAGTTCTTTGTTATAAGTTTGTGTGCCAAAAACAAAAAAACCCCCACAATTTTACTCCAATATTTAGCAGAGGTTGGCGGTGAAATGGCTACGTAGAAAGTGTCAAAACAACCTTAGGTAAATAACCTGTGATGTCTACTTTATATAAATATATACTTTTGTGTGGCAATTTTGTTTTATTGTATGGCTATTAAGCTTACAAGACAAACACAATTATAAAATCGCTCCACATTAAAAGTTTATTTTACTCCTTGTGCTTTGTGACCTGTAACTACCACAAAAAACTGAAAATCCCAGACACATTATATATTCTATAAATCAGAACAACTAAATGAATTTATTTTTAATTACTTTCCTTAACCTGCACTAATTATGCACACATTATTGCAAAAACTGTTAAAAAGAAAAAACACAAAAATGTTTTTTGTGTGCATATTTCTGTATTTTATTTTTGTAATAAGCATTTATATATATATATGTATGTATGTGTGTGTGTGTTACATCAAATTAAAGCCCTTTCTGTCCTTTAAAAAACGGTATATAATATGTGTCGGTGCGATAAATTAGTAAAATGCAAATTGCAGTTGAACGCAAACAGCAAAAAATGCTTTCATTAAGTGAAAGACAAGCTTCTGAAGCTCTGTCCTTAAGGGGTTAATAGGTATCATGCACAATACCACAATCGCAAAAAATACATTACAAAGCAACTGTAGCACCCATAAATAACACAAGTACAATACGACAACATACACAGCTCAATTAAAAAATAAAATACAAAACAAATAGGACCAGCATGCCAAGGGACTTCAAGATCTTTTTTTGGCACAGTACTACTTAAAGGTTGCCTAGCCCTGATCTATTCTATGATGAGAAAATATACAATCACAAATGTGAATGTAATGGCTATATACACTGATTTCACACAATTTACAGTGTAGCTTCTGTTACAAACTTCATTTTCTTTCAATTTTTTTCTATTATCTGCACATTGGCAAAATTGCTGGGAGGGAACACCTCATGTGAAGTTACTTAACTGATAACATTGTTTTGTAAATTAGTCTATAAATGAGGAGATTGATCTCCCACAGATCAGTGTCTTTAACACTTTACTGGCAACATTATCTTAAGAAGGGATAATTGGTTTGTTATTACTTCATGAGAATCCATCACCCAACAGTCTACAAAAAAATAAAGGTGGCTGATAATCTACCTTTCAAACTACAATTTCAGCTACAAGTGTGAAAATGGCAACCGACACAATACAAATTTCTATAAAGGGGATGTGCCTAAAATTGTTCTCAGAGAGGACGATGATCTGAAAAACAATGCTAAGCAGGCTGCAATGGAAGGTGTTAAATGGAAGGCTGCATATGTTTTTAGTTTATCAAATTATGGCTACCTAGCATAACTAGGACATGTATTGTATCCATCTTGGTAGATGTACCTGGCACTGTACACGTTACGTAAAGCCAGTTGCCAGAGGTGCATTTGTCAGTCAGGCCTCATAATAGGATGGGACATCTCGTCATTATTTATGTTAGTCAGATTACAAAAATGAAGTGATCTGGGCTAAGCAGCCTTCTATCTGCTGGAAGTTAAAGTATTTCTAAAAGGCAGAGAAGAATAAATATTGAAATTACAGCAGAAAGGATGGCTGAGTGTTATGGGGTTTATAGCTTTCAACAGCTCCAGTGCCAGACGACCATCACAGTCCTATAAGCTGATGTTTTCTGTGTCACTTTGCTAAAGAAGTGGCTTAGTCTCCTGTTGCATGCCATATGCCTGCACTCCTGTGGAAAGAGTTAAGCAATTTGTGGGGGTTAGAGGACAATGGAGCTGTTGGTGGGATTATCTGTCCTCCCTGCCTTTGTCTGGCTCCCTCTTTCTTATTTAAAATGCCCCCTTCAGCTACCCTAGAGTGCTGTTAATGAGCCACTATTGTAATGCCCTGTTTGGGGAGGTGATTAGGAAGAATTGTCTGGTTGCAAATTGAATTCCTCCACAGGCAGGAATGATGCCCAGCCCTCCCCCTTGCATTACAAATTACCTTGCCCCAAGGGACAGGAGGAGAGCTTATAGGGCAATGTATATAACCTAACCCTACCCCAAACAAGATTCCATTACAGACTAGGCGGCTAATTAAAATCCCATACCTGTCTCAATTACATAATGTGTCATTGTCCTGTTATGGAGTTAGTGGGTGGGGAGTTGCGCACACACAGAGATCTCTATCTTTTGCTTATGTATATAAGGAGCATTCAACCATGTAACTACTCACGTTGCATATTCTATGTCTGTTATTTTGTAGGAATTAATTGTGCCAGGTGGTTTAAATTTAAAATGCTGGGCATCAAAATGCTCTTGGCATTCAAAGTGGTGCACAACTGTACGTGTGTGACAAAAAAAACAAAATGGAGGCAATATCTCAGTGTCCAGATACTCACAAACTAGTAAAAAAAGACAAAGGGGGAGGCGGGGAGATAGCTTATCTACTAGTATAGAATTTGTACATTTAAGCTTTGTGGTGTGTTTTTGCATACATCTGTAAATAGAAGACTAATGAAAATGAAACTTGAGGGAAATTTTAAATATAAAACCAAAATTATCCATCTCCATGGGAAAAAAATAGAATCCATTTACATATTCTACTGCTTCCTATTGTGATTGCTCCACTTTTCTCACAGACTTCTTTATTTTTACCTCACCCGCCAAGTTCTACAATACTCGATAGCCCGGTTACAATGTTCACACTAGATTTAGGGACATTGCAGACTGTCTCTGCTAAAGTGGTTACACCATATAGAGCAAACAAGGGAAGGTGCACTTTTCAGTAAATAATTTGAAGAATGTTTGTGTATTAAAGAGGAGTGGGCCAAACATTTGGGTAAACCTTTTCTAACTTATTGTATTCTGCACAGATCTGCATATGAAAGTGGAAAAAGGGACACGTGCTAGTGTGACACATTTTAAACTTGTCACTATAATGTATTTTCAGGATTTATTTCAGACTGCTGACCAATTTGTGGGGTTATTACCGAACTAGTACCTGCTAAATAGTACTTGATGACGGGGGTTAAAAAAAAAAAAAAAAGTTTATACCAATTTACCAGAAAATGCATTTATTTATTTTTTTCTCACCTATTTGGCAAACACTGGGTTACTTACCTAGTTATGTATTTTCATTGTAGTTTCTAAGGGGAATGGTTATTCCCTCTATAAGCTGCACCAATAAAGAAAATATTGAAAATCGCTTCTGTTACCTTTTTTCCATGTCATGTTTAACTTCCTTTTAAATTTTATATTAAAGGAAACCTGGCATGTCCAACATTACTTTTCCTCTCTTTAAAGAGCATCATGTTCTGTCTATTCATTGTGCTAGCAATTTTGCTTGCAAATTTATAGATTGGAAGAAATATCTATATATCTAAAAAAATAAAATGGTGTTTTTCCCACCTGTCAATCAATTCTTTGGCATCACCTTTATGCCGAACTATTGATTTGATATAGGATAGCAGAATAGTCAACTCACAGACTGTCATTCTGCTCTCCGTGCATAACAACCACAGCACCTGCGGGAGGAGTAAGGGTGGGGCAAAGTGTTATACATGAGTGGAGGTGCCCAATTGCAGGCTAAAGAGGTGTGGATCTCTACATTAATTTTTTCATACCTCACAAATACATATTCATTAAATAGGGGATGAGTCAACATAATATTAAAAATCCTGGAAAGCAGCAGTTTGCCTTATAGTTTGCTTTCTTGTTGTGTCTTGGCTGGGCGTCTGTTCCTTGACTGACACTCTTTTAGAAGCATTGGGTTTTGCTGTATGCATATTCAGCAATGTATTGCTTAGTGTGTTTTGGGTCAGGTTTTATGGATATTATCTGTTTTTCCTTCCTTCACATCCATTTCCTTCCTTCCACCTCATTTTTCTTTTTTTGTGCTGATTCCTGCAGCGCACAAACTGTGTGTAAACAAGTATGTAACATGAAAAAGATAAAACGCTAAATAATCTGGATTCTGATAAATCGGTTTCTTTCATTAGTTAATGGAAGCGGGATATTAACTACTCCACTACTTGTTCATATACAACCTTCTAAAACGTCAATCAAGACATGTTGGTTGAATGTGAAAAAAATTTGATTTTATTTTCTAATTGTCAGCTCTTGGGGTCCACCCCCTTCCTATGTCTCTGAATCTGGCGTCTCTTATCTCGGCTCCCTTCCTGTCTGCATGTCAATGGGTACAGCACTTTACAGATGGTGCCATATTACAGAAATAACATCTCTGCTAATTGGTAGTGTGTGTGGTGGTGGTGGGGGATTTAAGCACACTGTGTCCCCCTCACTCCCTTGTATTGGCTCTCCATGCCACCCCCACCCTCCTGTCTTGGAAGGTTCATTGAAATTAACAATAAGTGTTAAGTGAATGTGAACAGGGGGGAGTGAGAGGGTATATACGGTCTAGATTTGTGCTCACAGGGGCCTTATTGTTGCTTGGCTTGTGAATACCTATAGTGTGAGACAAAGCACATTCTTCACTATAAAAGAATAAGAAGAAATACGCATTTCTGTTACTTTTTTAAGGGGTTGCATGTGTAGCATATACCCTTGTATCATAAATGTTCACCATTTAATAATGTTAATTGGTTTTATAGTAGGCAACTGTACTATATAATTAACATAGACTCAGATTTAGTTATACTATTGGTAACTTGTCCTTAATGCTTCACATATTTTAGGGCAATAAAACTGGACTTGGCAGATATACATTTCAGGATTTTACTGTATCTGATAGACGTTTTGATTGATATGGAACGTTGCATCCGTAATGCATTGTATCTGAACGTTCTGCAAGTACACAGTTCTTATATCTTTCATAATTCTTAATTATTTACCGTAAATTGGACTAAAATGAAAAGGCTCTTGCCATTGACGACAGTGGTGAAAAACCCCTGGTGCTGTTGCAGTTTTTGGCTACTTCCCCATGATGCTTTGCATCAATTGCTTTACGCTCTCTTTGCAGTGCTAGAAACCAAATAAATCATGATTGGGTTAGTAATCCAACATTAATATCTCTACTTTTCAGAATTTTTCTTCCTGATTGGGAAAAAAAATTCAATTTTGTCTTATTCAAACTCCATTACTTTGCTATTCTTTCACGTTAAAAATCTACTTTTTTATTTTCCTAACCACTATTTTAATTGCCAAGTTAATTGTATAGTACAACTATATAAATATAATTGCATGTTTTACCTAAACATTCAACCCTTTGTAAGTTCGTTTAATAATGCAGTTCCACATGGTCCTCCCAATAGTTCCCATAAATAACTGTACCATTCTTAACTTAAAGGGACACTATAGTCACCAAAACCACATTCGCTTAATATAGTGTATAGATCATTAGATCAGGTTCCTGCATTCTTGCTGCTCAATTATCTGCCATTTAGGAGTTGAAGCACTTTTGTTTTTGTCCATGCAGCCATAGCCACTCCTCTCGTGGCAGTAACTGAAACAGCCTGCAAGAAAACAAATAATTACATTTTCAATCAGATGTTAACTTGCTTTAAAATTGTTTAAACATTTTGCTATGTAAATTTAGTTTTAATCACACACAACTGGTTTCTACAGGGTCTATGAGTCTATTAACAGAGCAGAGGTAAGAAATTATAAATTAAACAGACCATGCAATAAGGGAAGTATAAACATTGGCTCTCGCTTTACAGGAAGTGTTTAGGAAGACTCTGAAGGCCACATGCAGAGAGATGTAACTAAGGCTGCATAAATAAAGTGATTCAATTCCTAAATGGCACAGAATTGAGCAGTGAGACTGCAGGGGCATGATATATACACCAAAATTGCTTTATTAAGCTAAATTTGTTCTGTTGACTATAGTGTACTTTTAAACCTTATTTAAAGAATGATTTATGCCCATGCGATCAATATTCTAATCCTATGAAACTCATACTATTTTCCTGGTCTACATAAAGTCAGGTCAATGTCAAATGAAAGGTAGTGAGTGATAGTTTGAATGCAATTGTTGCCAAGGAATGCAATGAAAATTGTTGTGTTTTTTTTTTTTTGTTTGGTTTGTCCTCCTTTTCTGTTAGTGAGATTTTAATTTTGATTGTGAATCTCTTCATGATGCTATAATTTAAAAACCTTTCTCTACTTTAAATGCCTGAAGTGATCTACAGGGTTAATTTACATGCATTGATCAATTTAGATTTCTAAATAAACTAAAAAAAAGTCTCCTCTCTGTGCTATTTTTCTAGCTCAGCTATTTCAGTCCACTATTTGCAATTGGCTTTTCAATTCTCCACATTTACCAGTTTAGTGAAAAAAGTATTTTATACATAGAATGTGAAAGATGAGCAGTTGGTTGCAAATCAACTGAATTTACAGTGTTTAATTGTTTCTGTACAGACAGCTTGCTATAAATCCCATCTCTTTAAAAATGTGGAACAAAAGTTCCAAGTTCCTTGAGTGGCCTTTTCACTTATTTTTTTTTTTTTCCCTCCTATTGCCTTTCGCGAGGGAGGTTGGGGGACATGTTGTAACTGGAGTGAATCCCTCAGGCAAAATGCAGAACAACATCCTAATCCCTTCCCAGAAGCACCCAGTTACACTGTGTGAGACAGGTTTGAGATTTAATCCAGAACATGGATCGAACTAAATGCACAGTGTTGCATTAGTAAACCATGTTCAGAAAATGCCTTCAGTATATATTTCTAGAAGTAATTGTTAAGTGAGCAAAAATGGAGCTTAAACTTTTAAATAAACCTCCCAACTCCCATGATCCTTGGTAACGCTTTGCTTGGAATGATCCATACCATTAGGTGGTGGTGGTGGTGGTGAAATAGATCTACTTCTGGGTAGATCTACTATAGAACATATTAACAGCAACACTGTTGCATTGTGGGTAGCACATTGAATACCAGGTACGTACTGTACCCTTCCTTGGTTTGCACATAGTGATGTTCATGAAAGACCACAAAAATATTAAAACTTTGCTAACCTTGTCTTGCAATGATCGATATGTCATGTGTTTCTAGGTGAGGCATAATAGAAGATTACACTTGCCCTACCCAACCTTAAAAGCCTTCTGTAACCATAATTCAATTCATGCCCAAATTACGCATTAAAAAATATATATATATATATATATATATATATATATATATATAATTTCTCTGTGTAATGTGTGTGAATATATTCTTCCAAATGGCATCTGAAGAGTACCCATTACCACAGGATAAATTCAGAAAATCAAGGCAGTTGTCTGTTACAGGGGAATTGTGGTTTCATATTGTTAAACTGGTAATCTGTGAAACTGTGTTTAATGTTCACTATATATACATGTAAACATTCCCTGACCTAGACCATTAAAGTTATTTTAATTACATGTGTAGTTTTAGGGGGAATATCTTTTTGCTTCAGGCTGTTCCAGTTTCTGAAGGAGTACAATTTAAATAAAGGTATTTCCCTTTGTCTGTTTAAAATACAAAAATAGAAGTCTTTATACTGATTGCAGATAAAAACTCTCCATGCATTTTTTTAAATTATTTTTTATTTTTTTTTATATATAAGAATTCCTATAGGTGGGTGGGGAAAAAAAGAAGTGGTCTGCCATTTAAAATGCCAGTCGCTACCTAAAATGTTCATGAGCAAGCTCAAATAGGATATGATGCTTTTATTGCTAGTTGTAATCTGGAAAAAAGGGGGTTAAAATGTAAAGAATTTAATCCTAGGTACTTGCAATTTAAGTGGATGCCTCTGCACGTTGTGTATTGGTCTACCAGCACTCACTACACCTTTCAGTCCACCTACACTCCCCATTATATAAATGTAGGTAGGTACTTTAGATTGTATGTATACACCGCTATGGAATGTGATTGGGAAGTTAAAAAATGGAAACAGATGAAGCAAAAAGTATTTCCTTGTGTATGATATGGCTGGGTGAGCCTCAATGAGTTTTGTGTAGGAGAATGGGGGTAATGTGCTGTCCTTTCTTTTCCCCTTCTCTTCCTCCCATTTTGTGCCGTGTAGAGGATCCTGATGTGTGTTTGCTGTAGACTGAAAGAGGTCTGTGTTCTTGCATCCTCCCACTCTTATCCCTCCCTGACATGTGGAATTTCACAGCGTTACACGGCCTAACGTGTGTGTCACTTTTGCATCCTGTGCACCAATCTACATAACTTTTTCTTCAAACTAGTTTAAACAAATTGTCTTTCTCTCAAAGGGTATACTTTTTAACAGTCTAATTATATTCTTCAGCGAGTAAGCTGAATTTCTAAGCAGGACTAGCAGGTCTATACTATAGACGACACTTCCCATGACTTTGCTAGAAGTGGCATAATGTGTTTTGTGGTGAGGTTGTGTGATCTGGCTGCCATAGTGGCCCTAGCAGCAACTCAAGGCACATCTGTAGCTATTTTGCCAAAACTGTCCCTTTTTCAATCTCTCATGACTTGTTACATTTTCGATGCACAATTGTAGCCTGCACATAATCTGTGCTCCCTTTCTAACAGACTATATATTCGTTCCTTTCTTGTCTTCTCTCTACAGTTATTGAGGCCTCCTCGTCTTATTTCTCCACACACACCTACCTCGTTTGCCTGATGTTTTTAACATTATGGAATAGCCACTTGAAGTTGGTAAACTGTGAGGACATTTGGTTGGGGATAGGTTAATGGGGCGATACTCTGCAGAGTAACCCCCCTCCCCCTCCCCAGGCTGTGCACACAGCTTCTTGTCTCTCACAGTCTGAAAGAAACTATTCATTCTCACAATACCCAGCACAGACCATGAAACCAGCTGAGCAGGATTCAGAGCCTGCGGGGCAACTCCCCCTTCTACCCCCTCCCCTCCTTTAGAGCCCCTCTACAACCCTGTATTCTGGCCCATCACAGCAATCTTAACAATACATTCAGTTCCCACATGCCTTATTGCCTTGCAGATTGTACATGTGTTCAAGCTGACAGAACAGCATGGGTTTACACTGTCTGTTCTTTGTCTGTTAGACATAATGTGGCCAAATATCAACAGGCTTTACGACCATTACAAGCATGCATTTTCTTAACCTATACGGTCTATCTCAGCAAGATTTTCCATGTAGCCCACGTTTCCTTTATCCATTCGATTTCCTAGGGATCGAGTTGCTCTCCAAATAAAGGGCTTTGGTCTATTTTGTCAGATGTTTTTTTACATGTTATTTGCACTGAATTCCTTAACATGTTTGACGAAGATGGCTGTCATTGGTTTCCTTTTCAGTAATTATTTATTTTTTCTTCTGTAAATCATCTCGAATTGTGATTGATGAAAGTCCATGATATTATGAACTAATTGATAGTTTCCTGGTCAAGGTGGGATAATTGAACTCTTTAAGGTAATTTGCCTTTTTGAGCGGTTTGTTCTGTGCAAAGATTTCGATTCTGTAACTGCAGCAGAACCAGTAAAGAAATGTATAGACTGTGGATATTTTGTCTCTCTAATCCACATAGGGAGATGAATGGTTAATCTCCCCCATATTGGTCAGCGCTACACGCACACAGACAGCTGCGAGGCCACATCTGGCTTGTATTATTTTGGGGAATGAACGACTTGGAGGGGGGCTGTGAGCGTATGAACGAGGTGGGGGCTGAGGGGGGTCTTTAATTATGATTCTCATGTAGTAAAATCCAGCTGCGCTCATAACTTTCTCTGTTTTTGTTAACCCATTCTGTGCCTTCAATCTTTTTTATAATAGGCACTTTTTAGGCAACAGAAAGGACATGCTTTATGACTTGCCATATTTTAGTTATTGGCTTGTATTTATTCCATTGGTAATATTTTCATTTGAGATGTATATAATAATCTATTTTCGGCATAACCTATTCAAAATACTTAGGGCCAAAAACAAAGTATGGTTTTATCCCTGGTTATAATGTTTAGTGCCAAGAGGTGATCCGCTGCGTGATGCAAAAGGGGCCAGGGAACCATTTTCATTTATTTTTTTTCTTCGGTGGCATTTTTGGTGAGTGCCAGCTCTGTGGTTCAGTCCAGCTGTGTATTTCCAGACTCTGCTGGTGCAATCCTCCATATGGCATCCAGTTGGCTAAGGAAGTATGCATGTGATCCCTGTGTAATTTCACACTAATGGGAGGGGGTAATTCTGGAATAATTGACACCTCAGGGGCAGCTGTTAAACTGCTTTTCCCATATATTCTGTCCCAAAACAGAACCATCTCTCTCAAATTTAGGGCAGCTTTATTTTCTGTTATAATACATTATAGTATTAGCTGCACCAATTTTGTAAGAATAGTTTGGAATATTACATGTCTTACAAATATTGGGTTAGTCAGAGAGGTGATGGTGAGCAAACAGTTGTATTACCTGCTTTGAACGAAAATAAAGAGGGTAGTAGAAATGATAACCTCTGCTCTTCCAAATTAAAAATAAAGAAATACTGCAGCCTTGGTGTGATTGTAAAGGAGATGTGTAGAAAATTTTACTCCCTGAAATGCTCTAGCACGTTTTCTTTGCTATTACTTATCATTGTGACTTTGTAAATATGGTAAATAGAGTTAATATGGATCGCTAGAGTATCTTTCCCCAGCTTTAAACAGGTGGGACTTTAAGCTGTGCTGGGAATTATAGAGATTTGACATGGGAATTGTAAATTGTAGGCCAAAATGGGAAAACATTCTTCAACTCTGTTTTACATAGAATGGTTAGAAGTCCCAGTTACCAGTCCCTGGAAGAAGGTTTAAATTTGCTTGTAGATGGTACACAAGTGGTCTGATAGATATACGTGCAAGTGTCTGACGCTCAAACGAGGCAGTGAAAATCTATATGACAAAACGATCTGGCATATAAGAGGGTAATGACTGGTAATCTGCAGCTAATAAAAAGAACCCATTTAATGAAAACACTGGGGCAGCAAGTGAATGGAGAGGGGTTGGTGTCTAGTTGAGCTGTGGGTAAAGGGAATGAATTGAATTTCTGTTTAGAGGCTCAGGGGTGATGAAGGGTATTGGGGCAGAGAGCAGATTTGACCAAACGCGGAGGGGGCAGGAAGAGTGAGAGCAGGAAGTGGGATATGGGAGGAAAGCAGTAAATGGCGTGAACAGCTATGGGGCATTTGTGTGTGGGGTTCAGATTTCAGCAGAGAACGCAGGACGGATGTCACCCTCCCAACCTCAACTTTTCAATAGTCTCCACTATTAACATCTGATGCCTGCATTGCATTATAGAAGGGGTTAACCCCTGCAGTGCCAAGGTCACTGGGCTAATGTGTGACAATAAAAGCTATAATGCATTTTAAGAATGTTTTGACCTCTGGCTGGTATCCTGGGATTTTTCTATGCATTGGAAAAATGTGCACTCTCCCTCTCCCCCCTCCCTCCCCCCCTACAAAAAAAAAGTGTTTTTTTTTCTTGTTCACCTATGCTTCATCCTCTGTCCTGTGTAAATTACAATTTTTATCTTGTGTCCTCCTACCCCATTACTATTTAGTTCTCTCATATCTCAGAAACTTTTCAGTCTAGTGGCCAAATGAGACTCCTAAATACAAGTGCAATGCAGGATGTAGTAAACCGGGTGGACACACATGTAAGTCCTTTAACAAGCCACTTGGTTCCTATTTATGTACAATATTAAATATGGTGTCAGTTCAGTCTTCTGTCCTGCCATACAGTTTGTGTTGTCTAATTGTTGAATGTGTTGGAGGTCAAAAAATGAAAAATGGTCTTCTGTTTACTGTATAATCAAAGAATATAAAAAACAAGTTGGGATATTAGTGAAGTAGGATTTAGTACGAGACAATGCACATTAAGCCACTCTTAAGCTTTTAGGAGTATAAAATGATTTCTCCCCTCCCCCCCCCCTCTGTTTTTTGTGTGTGGGGTGGGTTCTATAAATAATCTCTGTACGAGAGAACTGTAAAATAGAAAAACTCTGTTGCCCTCCTTTTGCTCCATCTCTTTTCCCCTTGCTAATGGCTCCTATTGTGTCTCAGTGAAGAGGTGTCTGCCTCTTGTGTGAATAGGCCTGGTTTCCAAGGAAACCCAAGCCAAAGACTAACCTTTGACCCTTTGAAATAACCCCCCTCATTTGATTGGGATCTGGAGTAGGTCTTGAGTTTAACTCTTTCTGATTTACTATTTCAACATATAGATTATTATTAATTTTATATCTTGGTTTGTGTTTTTATTTTATTTTGGAATTGAAAGAAGCAATGGCTACAGCCAAGAAGGTCCTGTATTTTTTGCTGCACCAGACTATCTTGTAAATAATGCTTGCTCATAAGCTTGAAGACACATTCAAACCTATGGAACACTTTAAAGGTTACTCTAAGCATCGTGACCACTGTAGCCTGCTGTAGTGGTTATGATGCCAAGAGTACCCTGGCCTGGTTCCTTGGTAATGGGGCAAATAATTTAGGAATGGTTTGCCCTCTTACCTGGCCCCCTCCAGGCTCTGAGGCTCCTTGTGGTTCCAGTGACACACTTTCACCTTTTTCAGAGGGGCAGAAGCTAGAAGCTGATCAAGTTGCCATTTATTAGCTGAGACAACAGCTGACCACTTTCATCCAATGAATGGCACTCTGAACGAAGTTCCAGGCTGATGCCCCATAATGCTACCGAAAGTAACAGTTTTAAGTGTCATTTGGTATGCATAAGTACATTGTTATAAAGTACATTTGGAAATTACAATGTCCCAAACTCCATCTAGTACAGAAAGTGGCTTCAGATTGGTTTTATCTTTTTTTTTTGGGGGGGGGGGGGTTTAAGACATATTTTGGGCCAATATGCAAATATAACTAGGTTTTTGTTTACAAAGACATTAAATTTAACACTATTTTATGAGTGCTCCTGTGGAAAAAGTGATAATTCTGTCCATATATATCCTTATTGGTACTGATTCTTTTTGTGGCTAATCTTAGAGACCTTGGCTGGTGTGGAGTATGTTTCCTATGATTCACAGACCACTAACTACTTGCCTTGAGTGTCATGGGATACATAGGCCAGAGCATCTGGAGTGCCAAAGGTTAGCCAACAGTGCTTTAGACTAGAGAAACCCAAAATATAGATGCACGTTTTACAGGAGGAACTCCTATAATACTTTGCCTGCCTTTAGAATGGCAAAGTGTCATAGAAGTCGTAGTTTAAAAAAAAAAAAAAGCACCCCTGCTTTAGATTGTAGTTTTAAAACTGTTGCTCTCTTCTGTTGCATTAACGTGCGTAAACGTGGTCATCATCAGTATGTATTGTCATCAGTATGTATTGTCAATGACTATTAATAGGGATGACCATCACATGACTTTGCACACCTCTCCATTACTGAAATGGTTAAATCACCCCTTGCATCTCAGTCCCATCTTGTGTGCCCCCTCCCCAATGATTTTCCCTCCACCCCACCATGCTAGGGGCCCCATGATCTCAGCTTGAACATTCCTCCCCTGTAACTGGATTTGCAGCTGTTTAGGAAGAAAAAATCCTGTCTGAAAAACGTGCATGAGAAATTCAAAACAGCTTGTCCTGCTGTCAGAGGAAGGGAGGGGGTAGATTGTTAGGTGGCGAGACATTGAAATGGAAGGACTCTGCAGAGTAGTTTGCAACCTTTTAGCACTGTGGACTGCAGTGGTGCATCTTTTGTTATTTCAAATGCCACATTTCATAGAAAATGTTTTACAGCTATTTCATCTGATTTTGGGTGCTTTCATTCCTGATGTCTCTCGAGAAAAGAGTTTACTTTGCATTTTGAAAAATAAGCCTGTATCATGGGTTTTGTACAGCAGTGATTCTCAGACCTGGCCTCGGGGACAGTTGCCTACCCTGTGGCGTTTGCAAATATTCAAAATAAAACCTCATTATCCACGCTCTAAAGTTCTGCTTAAATTCTCAAATCTACTTTCTTTCACATTCCTTGATTCAACTTGAAGACCACCTTTCAAGGTGTTTTCGTCAGATTGTGATGCCTGGATTACTGTTTGAGAACAACTACTGGATTGTTAGCTCAGTAGACTGAATGCCTCTAACATAATGCAAGATTTCACATGACTTTTATTTTACCATAATATACGAATTGAAGGGAGTAAAAGTTGGCTGCAAAACCTACATTGTTAGAGTATTCGGTCTACCTGGTTGCGACAGTTACAAGGCCTACAGAGTACCTGTGATAAGGCAGGATATTCTAAGATTAGAGTACAGCTCAGCATATTTCTGTGTGGTATTGACCAATTTGCTGGAGTTAAAGGAGAATTGCACTTGAGTATGCCCACTGTCTGTGCATCTCCTCACCAGGTCTTTTCTAACTCTGCTCTCATTGTGTCTTTTTTTTTTTTTTCTCCCGCCTTTCCTTCGTGGGGTTTTTTTTTCCTCTCATTTTTTTCCTTGCAGCTGTGTCCTCTTGTTCCTCGCTTAAGGAATGCTAGAGATATCTGAAAGTGGCAACTCCCAGAGTTGTTTTATATCCAGAGAATAAACTTGACTGAGTTTCAGGAAAGATCCCACATTGAAACATGACCTGATCTGAAGCCATATTGGTCAATGTAAAGATATCTGAACCCAATTGTTACGCACAAGTTTTTGCATAGGTGTTAAGTGACAGCCTGCATTAGAAGCACAGCTTGGTATTTAAACATCTGTTAGGGTTTGGCCCCCTAATACTACACCCTAAGAATGAGGAGTAGGCACACAAATACTTTGAATAATAAAAAAACATGCCATAACATTGAGATTTTTTTTGTTTTTTCTAGATGTCACAGAATGCAGGATTTCTAAAAAATTGCAGTTGTAAAATAATGCATTTAAATACTAAAGAAGGGACTATACATGTAGGTTGCATTTGAATATTTGCACACTAGTACTACTCATCATTCCTAGCCAGCCTCATGGAGTTGATGTACAACTATGTTATAATAAGGCATGTTGCAGCTGTGTTATACATTGCCAATGACAAAACACTTTTTCCAAATTTTATAGTAGTTGTGTCTGTTTTAAATCAGAAGTGTGGGCATCATTTTCATGTGTGGCAAATACACCTTAACTGAAGTCTTTCTCTGTCCTGATCTTTCTTCTCACTCCTAATATGGCTGTCACAAACCATGTGTTGCTATGGTTAATGTTGCATTTTTACTCTTGCACTGTGCATTACCGCTATATAGCAATATATTCTGATGAGGTAAAGGAAACTTGGCTACTGCATTCTAAGTTAACTGTAAAAATAAGAAAACAATGCTAGCTAGAGTTGAAGTCCTTTCTTCTGACCAGAAAATGCTCTGATTAGAGTAACTTGGGTAAATATAAGCAAGATTGAGCAACTTCTAGAATGCAAATGTTCTAATTTATGTAAACTGAAATTCAGACGAACTGAGCGAGTCTGGTGACAAACATGTATTTGCTCTCTCTCACACTATATTCCCTTGGAAGAACAACTCAATCACTTACATTTTTTAATAATTAATATTTTTGTTTCAAGTGTAGTTCTGAGTAAGCAGGTTTCTAGTTGCGCTAGATACATGAAAACAATTTTGCAGTGTTGTATATATCTATGTACAAATGTATATTTTTTTGTAAATTGTAACGGGTGGCTTAAGGATAGCTTGTTTTAATCTTGGTAAACTGGTTTCCATAGAAACACCGTTGCAATGACTAGAAAAAAACATTTTCACTGGGATACAGATATTCGGTGTATAACAAGTTGTTGTTTTATTTTTTTATTTCTTGGTTTACAGTCCATATATGGGTTTTTTAAATTTTATTTTAGTCATTCCTTAAAATACAATAACTCATTCATTTGTCATAGGAGGAACTGTATATGTTTTTCATAGGTGACTAGTGACGGTGACAGCACCACTCTCCTAGCTACTCACCCCTTCTAATAAACTAAGTGATCTGCTAACTTCTCCCTCAGTTTAGGACATTGTGCGCATGTTGTTCCTGCTAATACAAAAAAACATGAAGTGATGACATGCTCTGTAATCTCTGTCAAACAATACTGTTTAGGTTTCTTTCCAGTCAGTCAACTTGCATGTTTGTAAAGGACTGATCGCAGACTTGTTAATTTGTTCTTGTTGTGGCGAAAATGGCAGCACACAGTGCAAACGCCATCATTAGTGAGGGCAGGATGGGTGAGTTTTCCAATACTTTGCCCTCGTGACCCAATGGAACATCCATTAAATATGTTGCTTAACAAGACTGTCATGAATGACATAGAACAGAAGGTAGAGGAGTCAATGAGTGTCACTTGTAGTGACACAAGCTGGCTGTTTTAAGGATGGGAGCCTTTGCAGCTCAGGGCAAAGCCAGAAAATCACCCTTGATGTTCACATAACCCCCTTGGTAAACTGGAAATTCGGTTCTACCTATTCGTATATGTGATGCTTTTGTATTGTACAGTATTTGCTAAGTATTTTTCTGAAAAGCAAGTTTCCAGATTTTGATATTCCGATGAGTAGCCCTTTCCTCTGAAGGTGACTGAATTTGTGTAGATAGGGCATTTAATGAGAGCCCTTCATAAATGAATTGGATCTAAAATTATTTACTTATACTTTTATATTCTATATTCAACTCAGAGGTACAGTCTCCAACTTCAAATTTGTTTCTTATGTTTCAGTGATGCATTCTGCTAGCTTTTCAGTTTCAAACCCGTTGACCAGAACTTAAAGTTAACTGATGTATGGTATCCAGGTATATTGTGCTAAAACAAGTTCCCTGTCTATTAAGTCTCCCCCCTACCCCTCTCCATCTTAGGTTATTCACTAAATTATGAATTGTAAAACCAAATGAATTTCAAATTTTACTGCAAAATGGTTCAACTGAAAACCTTTTCTAGGTTTCTAGTTTGGGAAATTTGGCCTACAATTTGACATTGAATTCCCAACAATTCACACTTTTCGTGAATAGCCTGTTGTATTGCAGTTCCGGTCACTGTGTGAATTTCGGCTGTCCTTTTTATTTTTTTTTTATTATTTTTTTTAAATAAATTAAATTCTGGTGGTATCATTAAGTAATCAGGCTGATGGACTCACTCAAACTGCTGTGCTAGAATGTTAAAGGAGTAAAGTCTGCTTCATGAATGGGATCCGATGGACTATGGCTTTAAGTTGTACAATGTAATCATTGGTTCCATTCTATAAATTAACCATTTTGATAAACAAACTCATGCCACAATCACGTACTCTAGTAGCATTTCCATATGTGAAAATGATCGTACCTTTTAAATCCCTGGCCATGAATCATGAAGGTGAGGACTGGGAGGCAGACTGCGGTTCCTGTACTATTAGGCCCCATCTCAACAACTGGAATATAAACAATGATATAGCTCTTTAACCTTCATTACAATACCAGAGCAGAATATTGTGTGCCCAACTAACCAAACAACCTGCTCTCTAGTTTGTTTTTACCTTGTTTTTCTAGACAATGAAGTATATCTTAGTGTCCCTGGGGGGTAGGGTTGAGTATAGAGTATTTTTGGCTGCAATGTTGATGACACAGGCAGGAAACTGCACAGTGAGTGACATCACCCTGCCTGCAAGAAGATAAACAACTATTTATTAAATACCGAGGCTAAGAAACTAATGTGCCTCTTATTGGAAACATGTGCTTTTCAAGATGCTGTTTTTTTGTTTTTGTTTTTTTCTGGTAAGTCTAAATTTTGTGCTGGGTTTCTTTTTTTTTTATTTTTTTGGCAGATTTCTTGGAAACAAGTTGCCTAAAATGAGGTTTTCAAAATACTAGTGTCGGTTATGGTGAAACTTTCCAACTCAATGACTGGTATTGCGATTTTTTTTTTTTTTTTTTTCTTGTTAAAATGGTCATCCTCCAGCATAGGGAAGCCTTTAATAGAATACTTGATTGGCAAAAGTCTAAGAAAACTTCACATTTTTTGTTTTAGGTGTAATTTGTGTGTTTTTATTGGAACATTTTAAATTGTAAGAACACTATGTATTTCTTAGAACCTTATGTGGATTATACTTCCCCCTATATACTACATGCTGCATGTTGGCCTAAGTGAGCCGTGTTTGCCTCGGGAACATCAGGTGTGAATTCAATTTCTCATAAATATCCTGCCAGGTTATTGGGATCTGTGTGCATTGTGAAACTGCCAAGTTGGTGTCTACTGTTTTGTTTGCAAAGTGTGTTGTTTGGTTAAGAAGAAGAAAAAAATATACTAAAATATAATATAATTGTAAAGCGTAATTTTATTTCACTTATATGCTGCATGGACCTATACATTAGGAAACTTAAAGCAAACTCTTAAGGGCTGTCCAGAATCTAAATGTCAGGCATCATTTCCACCTTTCTTTTTGCCTTGTTAGAGCTGCTCCATTTTGGTATGTTGTCCTGCACTCTATTAATGGCTTGTTCTGAAACCTATGATTTTACATGTGTCGTGATGACCAGTCAGATATGACACTCGGTAAACTTTCCAATTCCGTTGGGTCATTCCCACCTTACTGTGAAATCTCACATGTCGATCCTTGGTTTACTCCAATTTTTAGAAAAGCTGTGACAAACCTTTGCTCACTGATTCTTGTGAACCGCACCCCCCTACTCCTTAGTAATCTTATGTATTTGTATTATTTGCCTGGAGAGACCAAATTCATAAATTTATACAACAGGGATCATTGTGCTCTTACTAGTCCTATCTCTAACACTTGTAGGTTACGTGACCAATGCACATGGTTGCTTCCAGTGTAGTCATTCACATCTGACCCAGAGGCAGCTAATACTGACATTCCTACTATGCTGCATTAAATCGACAGTTGGTTTCAGAAGGAAAGTGGGTTTCTGAGAGAATGATGGGATACAATGTAATGGACTGAGGTTAATGGGTGGGATGTACTTGCTTAAAACCAGGAATTGTTCATTTATTTTAAAATCACTTTGAGGGCCTAATTGGTTACATACTTACCCACTGTTAATCGAAGTGTAATGGGGCAGTTCATTGTTTTTGTTTTTTACGCAAACTTAAAGGGACACTATAGTCACCAGAACAACTACAGCTTAACGGAGTTGATCTGGTGAGTATAATCATTATATGCTAGCATTTTCATGCAAACACTGCCCTTTCTTGTTTGTCAGCTAGGGTTAACCCATTTTTTCATAAACATAGCAGTTTTTTCAGAAACTGCTATGTTTATGAATGGGTTAAGCCTTCCCCTATTTCCTCTAGCGGATGTCTCATTAACAGCCGCTAGAGGCGCTTGCGTGCTTCTCACTGTGATTTTCACAGTGAGAGCACGCAAGCGTCCATAGGAAAGCATTATGAATGCTTTCCTATGTGACCGGCTGAATGTGCGCGCAGCTCTTGCCGCGCGTACGCATTCAGCCGACGGGGAGGAGAAGAGGAGGATCGGAGGAGGAGAGCTCCCCGCCCAGCGCTGGAAAAAGGTAAGTTTTAACCCCTTTCCAGAGCCCGGCGGGAGTGGGACCCTGAGGGTGGGGGCACCCTCAGGGCACTATAGTGCCAAGAAAACGAGTATGTTTTCCTGGCACTATAGTGGTCCTTTAACCCCTCTTAAAAGTATGTTAAAAAAAGAAAGCAATTAATTTACCTGTAATCCAGTGTGGGAGAGACTCCTCACACCAGCCACTGCTCCATTTCTGAGATCATCAGTTGTGATGACCGTGGTCCATTCCAGTGCTTCTCATAGAGGAGATCCACAAATTTAAAATGCTTTTCAGAGTTTTTAGTAATCCAGTTTGATGTGATGCTGAAAATTAAGTCCTTAGATTTTAGATTCTAGGTCTTCATGAGGAAATGCAACTAGAGATGCATTTTCTAGCAAATGTTAACAGTGTTTGTTTTTTAATTGCCAGAAAAAAGGGACACTACGTGCCAAAGCCACTTTATTAAGACGTAGTAGTTTGGGTCGTTATTGCCCTTTTAATGCTTGTGTATAGGATTTTAATATTTTATAGTGAAAATTAGGTTTGCTCTGAAACGCTTGGAATATTTCACTATAAAGTAATTATTTTGTTAATCTAGGATGAATCACGGATTATGGTGACTTTATGTAGTGAATACCATTGCCATTCACTTGCCCTCATAGCCAACATTTCATAGAATTTTCTTCAAGTAGTGTTGTGTTAATATGGAATATTTGTGCTTCAGAGTGAATTACATAAGTGCCCCTATTAAAATGATGCACTACTAAAGATATGTTTGCCCTGCCTGTAACCTCAGTTCTACTACTAGTTACCCAATTCTCCTAGAAAGTGTTTTACATTTAACATGTCACGCCTGAAACAATGAATCCCGTTTCTTGACACTTTGAAACCTTTAAATAACATATAACTGCACATAACTCCAAATGTGCAACTTTTATTTATTCTGCTTCAGCAGTTTCTATACAATGGCACAATATTCTATTGTGAGTGCTCCCAAGGACATTGTTTAATATTGGCTAAATCTCAATCTCTTCCTGGTCAAATACTTCCGAAATAATATATATATATAGATATAGATATAGAGAGAGAGAGATTTATTAAAAAAAACTATATGAAAACTAGTTGCTGGCTTATAGATGGTTGCCAACCCATTTTCAATTTATATCAACTCAGTTGTGGTGGGGAAAAAATGTGTGGATGAAAACCCATTCCACCTGAAGTGGATAGTTAATACATTGCTAAACACAAATACACACACCAGTCAAGCCATAGGACTTGCTTTTCCCACAGAAATCTCACTTTAACAGTGCTCTCAATATTGCAAGGGATTCTGGGTAGGCGTATGCAAATGAGCTCAACAAAGAACCACATTGTTTTTATTCATAATTCCAGTTTATACATGGATTCCTTGGAGTATGTGTATGCTGTATACAACAGCTTTGAAACACAACTCCTGAAGAGAGCACTGTTAAAGTGAAATTTCTGTGGGGAAAAGCAAGTCTTATGGGTTGACTAAAAGATGAAGTGTTTTTTATTTTTTTGTTTTTTTACCTTCTCATTTTAAAATGCTTTTCTTCCTGGCAGATGTGATGCTTGTGTTTTTAAGGTCCAGTTTCACTCCTCATGCCAGCAGCCACCATGGATCATAGCCCAAGCCTTTTTTTCCCCTTGTTAATGTGGGGGAAGAAATGCACTAAGCTCTTTTTGCAAGGTGTAATCCCTCTGGAATGAAGTTTGTTTGCTCACAGTGTATGTGTGTGTTAGTGGAAGAGCTGAATGGGGGATATGGGCAGACAGCAGTGCTTTGTCTCCCTGTCACACTCCCATCCTAGCATGGCTGTTCTGCACTACTTCCTGGGAGGGCAAGGGTAGAGGGCAGTGTGCATTGACCCTTAGCATGGAAGACTGTGTGACTGCAAATATATCTCAGTGTTGAAACTTGTACATCTATAATCCACACCAATAGCAGGCATACATACAGAATATGGACAGCAAGCACTGTCCTGTGCCTCTTGGCGGTCGGTGAATATCGGCACATTTTGTGGAGAGCACTATAAGGGTTATGTATAAAGTATCCTGTCCTGAAAAGTGACCTACAGTACTAAAAGTGGGATAGCCACCTTGGAAACCAGTGGAACACATTTCATAGTTATTTTCAGATCATGTTTTAGGTGGCATCCCATGTTTTCCCTATATAGTAATTATCCACCTTAATTTAAATTTCCAATCTGTACTGCATGCCAATGGAACCCTTTTTTAAATAGCAATTTTGAATAGGTTTGCCCTTTACAAAGTATGTATTTAGGGGTTCCTAAATACCTGCTGCCTATTTGATAGGCCTTGCCTCAAAATCTGAATGTGTGAAGTTGTCCACCACTGAAAGAAGACTATTGGCTAATGGATCTAATGCAAGAGCAGACAAAAAATGGTCCTGCCACAAAGCTATTTTAAGATTCAAATGCTTATTACCCAGTCAAATGAGTTGCAATCAGCTGTAAGGTTTGTTTGCTTACTGTGTGATGGTGTGAGTCGGGCAGTAAACATGATGTGATGGTGGTTGTTTGGGGGTTAGTTTTTGTTGGATTCCTTATTTTACTACACAGAAGTATTTTTGGGCCAGAAAACTATCAACATAGTATAAAGTTATGTGGAGTTAATTCTACCCTCCCTTTTGCGAGTGGCTAGGAGGAGTCTGGGGTTCCCTCTCTGTATTTTTGTCTCCTTGCCAGAGTTGGGGACTCCCCCTCTCTACCCAGCTCCCTTTCATCCAGCGCTCTGCAAGCCGCATCAAAGACTCTGCCGGAGGAAACATCACCCTGTGTAGGGTCATTGGGAGGCTGTCTGAAATCCCATACCCCCCCCACCACAAGCAGCTCAGTGACTTCACACAGAATGCCTGCTTTTTTCTTTATAGCTGGAAATATTGGATTTATTTCAGTCCCTAATGCTCTCCTACTGACCTGAAATAATTTTATTATACATGATAAGGTGATGATTTTCTCAATCCCATGACAATGACTATTCATTACATACAAATATATGTTTGCCACTGTTTAAATTATTGCTGCCCTGCTGAATAGGTTGTTTTGGTAATTTTTTTTTATCATTGCTACATATACTTTAAAAAAGCACAATGGTTTATATTGTTTTGCGAACTTGATTTTTTTTAAAAAAAATTTTAATCAAAAATGTAATTTAAAAATAAAAAAAAATCCTATAATGCCATGACTACTCTGCATTGTCACTACAGCAATATCACCTATGAAGAAGTCTGCTATGTTATAGTTGGGGGATTTAAAAAATAAATAAATATATATATTTATATTGTGTGTTTGTTTTTATGGTGCCATATTCTTGCTGACTGTCATGTGACAAGTCTTTAGGGATGCCAGTGGTCTATTATTGTAGGAAGGCATATAATAGCTGTGTTTAACAGTTTCTCTCCCCCCCGCACCCCCCCTCCCTTTTTTTTTTTTTCCTTCCAGAGTTCTAGGTTTAGGCCCAGCCAAAGTAAACATCCCCAGGGCAGGAGTAACTGGGAGACTGTGCCACTGGTAGGGAGGTAGGGGGTGAGGAGGCGGAGAGGGTGTAAAGGGAGGGGGAGCTGGGAGGAGATGCATTCCTGTAGGGCTAGAGTAAAGAAAACAATTCAGCATTAAGACATCTGTGTCTGCATGTAACTATCTGTCTATCTGTGTGTGCTCATGCGTGGAACTGGGATTGAGTGGAAACGATTATTTTTCTTTCTATTTGCATTCTTATAGAGATTTGTATACTCAGAGTAAAGTGGTGCTTTTTGTTTTGTTAGAGTTTGGTGGCAGTTATATATCAGTATGGACTGAATTTTCTTTTTTTTTTTTTTAATAGTCAAGATTTCCTAATGCTATTTGAAATGTTAAAGCAATGTCTCTTTATTCACTCAACCAGGTATTGTGGAGAACTGACAGGAAAAATGGAAACATCAGTCTAAAATATCAGAATGGAGATTTTTTGAGTTTGGCTACTTTGGCCTAAACATTACAATTCCGTTGTTTCTTTTCTACAATATACTGTTCGAAACATTGTGTGCTCGTTATAATAAGGATTACAAGGACACAACGTTTGTATGATCCAGCTGAAATTAACGGTTTCGGTTATTTAATTTGTTGGAGGATAATTCAGCATGTATGTCATCCTACAGCACTTTCACACATAGTGGTCATTGTGTGTGTATGTATGTATGTATATATATATATATGTATGTATATATATATCTCATTCAAATAGTTGTTTCCTGGAAATAGATATGGAAAACTGTGCATGCTCCTTCCCACACTGTGTTGCTATCCCATGAGTTCCAGAAACAATGTAATCTTTACACTGTAGAGCATAGGTTTAATGTTGGGTCCACTATTAAATAAATGGACAGCAAATTGTATCATGGCAATTCTTCCACGCAGAAGTGGGTCTCTTTATGGGGTGATAGGAGTGAACCAGAATCTAGAAAATTGTTGCTGAATACCCTTTCTATCCCATTGAATCCTGAAGTGATTTGTGGCAATCCTCTAACAATCAGAGCTAAAATAAGGATGCAAGGGAAATAATTGCTAAAGGGTTGGAAAGGATTCAGTCTAATCATGTGCACATGTTTTCCTGATAACATGATTTAAAGGCATGCCATGCTTGAAACTAGAAATTCTTCAACTCAGAGCTTTCAATTTCAAAAATAAATGTACATCTCCCACTGTTGGAGAGGTATCTGACTTCTACTAAAAGAATGTAGCTCCTCTGATCTTGATGGTTTTAATAAAAACTAAATATTGGAGGGGGGGAAACAAGCAGAATTTACTTCTTGAAATTTCACATTTTCTACAGGGCGATTACTAATAATTTATAAAATATTTTACCAGGAAAGATACATTGAGGTTTCTCTCATTTTCAAGTATGTCCAGTAGAACGCTGAAATCTTGACTGCAGGGCTAAGTGTATTGAACAGATTACAGATGTACCAAAACCTCCCAAAAATAGACTTTCCTGTAATCTTAGGGCATTGCCCCACAACATAATTGTTATAATATAAAAAAAAATTTAAATCTATTGCCAATGGTAAGTAAAAACCTTGGTATTTTTTCCCTACTGGGAATGGTTGTATACATTATACATTATAAATGATCGACTATACCATACAGTACTGCAGTACTAGAACGTCAGCACAGGTTGAATCATTGACTGTGAATTAGATTTGTCTAGGTAAGGTGTTGAGAGCAGCTGACCATGTTTCGAATATCAGTATGAATGCACCACAGACATGTTCAGTCTGATTTCTGAAATACTCCCTTTAATATCCAGTAGGGTATTTGAGCCAGGGCTCCCTTCTTTTATACTTATTCATACATATCATTCTTTATTTTTGCAAAAGTACATTGTAATATAGCAAATTGACATGGTGAAAGTGAATAAATTTACTTAGTAAATGGTTATACAGTAAATTAAGCTAGCATATGAATTTACTTAAAGGGACATTATAGGCACCCAGACCACTTCATATAAATGAAGTGGAATTGGGTGCACTGTCCCTGTCCACCTTAGTCCTGCAATGTAAAACACTGCTGTTCTAGAGAAACCACAATGTTCACATTGCAGGGTTAAGACTGCATCTAGTACTCTAGTGGCTTTCTACCAGACAGCCACTAGAGGTGCTTCCTGGAGTTTCTTGGAGTTTGACTCAGTGAAACTACGCTGGGCTTCCTCGTGCTCTGCATGTTGACATCTAGTGTCATAGGAAAGCATTGAGGCAAGTTCCCCCCCATCGGCTGACATTAGAATAGGTAGCGTGCGACCCAACGCAGAGAGATAACTGCACCGGAAAAGTGTATAAAGGATTATTTAAGCCTTTACATCACTGGGGGAACACGTTTGTGCAGAAAGAAGGTGTGAAGTCAGATACATAGGTGTAATATTGCGCCCCATCAGCTTTAAACTAAAGCAGTCACCACTACTATCTATAATCCTAGAAAGGTCGCTTAAGCAAGATTGTTAAATCTGTTAAAGATGTGACCGGTAGTATTCTTTGGCTCCTCTTTTTCTAATTGTAGCATGGCTGCTCTAGTTCTAGGTTTTGTAAAATCCGCGTCTGTGAGTTTGTATGAATGTTTTAGAATAGCTGTGTATAAGTAAAGCCCTGTGGTACTAGTAGTAGTATTTATACATCACCAACATATTCCGGAGCGCTTTCCTGTTAGAGAAAGGGGGTAAGGAAGTCCCTGCTCAAACAAGCTTGCAATCTATGGTGTTTGTAACGTCTGTCAGTAGTGTTGCTTGGAAATGGCCTCAGGCCGTTCGATGTGATTCTATTTGTGGTTTTCTGCCACCGGAAGTATTTAGATTGTCAGCTCTTAAGCTCCTTCCCAACGTGTACATCTGCTTAGTGTCTGAGGTAGATGGGTGTGGGAAGTATAGAGGGGGTGGACTGGTGGGCGACAATACCATTTTGTTTGCTTCAGGTCTGGAAATTGTCAGCGGGAACAATAAGGACATTTCCTGCTGGATTCCATTCACTCTGCTTGGAACTACTCAAGTGCTTCACCCCACCCCGCCTGGCATATCTAGCTCTTTACTTTATCTATATTACTGCTCTGGCCTGGTGCTCTTTCTAACCTCTCTGCTAAAGCCCTGTGGCATCTTCTGAGTAGATTTAAGGCCTGCTATCTCTGCTCTGCGTCTAACTATTTGCACTAACCTGTGTGCTGCATACCTTGGGCACTTTTCTGTGGAATCAAGGGCTGGCACAGCCTTCCTTCCCTCTCTTCAGTGCTGGCACAAGCCTCTCATGGCGATCAACTTTCTATGCAAACATTAACATGTTTAATAAAGTATGGCATTTAAACTACTTGTGCTGCTTTGATAAATGATGTGTGTAACCCTTACAGTCTGTTCTGTGTAAAGGCAGCTGTAAGGAGTAAAGGGCCTTCTGTCTCAAGCTGTAAGATGGTTCCTCACAGCTGGAATTTGTCTAGCCCTGCATGTTGGTTTTACTGCCCCACTTTTCCTTCTCACATGTAAACATTCCCGGGATCCTTCAGGATTTATATCTGCCCATACAGGCAGTTTCCTGCTGCCCCTCCTGCACAAATCCCTAAATCCTCCACTCCCCCTCCTCCTCCTTCTGCAGAGCATCTAGGGGAGTAAAGGGGTCAAATTTCTTCCATAATATTTGTAGAGTTACAGGCAACACTTCTAGTATGTAGGGGAAAAAAATGACATGGGATTTTAATCTAATGTATTGTATTCCTTCTACATGACCAGTTATTTATATCCGCCCGTAGTATGTCTTCACTCTGCTTGATCAATTTTTACTCAAATACCCGTGTTTGTGTTTAGGCTTATTTACTAAACAAGGAATTGTGTAAAAATTTTTTGAAATACTCAAATCCTGGAAAAGCGTTTCAAATTATTATTTATTTAGCTTTGCCGTATGGCCCTAAAACATGCAAAACCTTTTATGTACTTTCCAAGAAGAGTCCGTATTCTTGTTGCTAGTCACATCATCTGGATCTTTTTATAAAGCATTTTCTCAATACTGGACAATATAGAGAGATTACCATTGGATGATCACATTGTGGGTACATTATTTCAATAGCTGGAGAACAACCAATGTTTGTTTCCCTTGTCTAAACCTATTTGATAATACTTTGTGTTGGCTGTCCATTTTCTCCCTGAGCTAAAACAAAACCCTGTTGCTGTGTTTCAGGCTGTCAGATTATGTTTGCGTTTTTATTTATTTTTAAAAATCTCATCTTTACCCTCTTTTTGCAGTACCTGCAGATGAAATGGCCGCTTCTCGATGCCCCCAGTACAGCAGGCTTAAAAGATGCCAGGTCACCGTCCCCTGCACACCTAGTAAGTAATCTGTCTTTTTAACCATATCCTCGTACAAAAAAAATGACTCCTGTGCTGGCATATTTAAGTAGCAATGTAAGGGTTTTGGTTTTGCATTGACCTGGTGTACTTACAAGATCCACATTTTCAAGAGCAACTCTATGCCCAGTGTATGTTATTGGTTTCAATTAGATTTTTTTTTTTTTTAAATAATGAATGTTTGTTTTAATCAAATTATATAAAAGCTGGATAAATGGAGGTTCCCCCTTTTAATAATATTGGACAACATATGAAAATCGTGTTAACCTATAATGCAACTGAATGCTTGTGAAATCAGGATGAGAATTGCAGAGAATTCTTCAGTTTGGGGTGAATTACCATTTGCTCATGTTTTTCCCTGCCAGTACTCCTCAATTGTTAGAGGCAGCAGCAAAACCATGAGTGACGATGGCAATGAAAGGATAAAATAATTGGTTATACAGTAAGAAAATGTCCTACTGTAAAGAGACCTGTTAAATAATTTATGTAAAATATGGGGAAAAACTCTGCAAGATGTCTTTATTTACGTAATGCATTTGTTAGTCTTTAACTCTCACCAGCATTACAGGAGTTAAACCAAATGGCATACATGTCTACTGGCTATTGAGCAATAATCAGCCACGTTTGAGTTGGCCAAGTCTAATGTAGGATTGCCTGTCCACCAGCATACAAGAGGATTATATTTTTCCCAAAGTATTGCTTTTGGTAACCGGGTACCCCATTTTTAAAAGGATATTTTCTTGTTTTATTTTTATTTGCATTGTCTTATGGTGTGAAATATACAATAATGCTAAACCGGGTTGCACAACACAGTCAGCTAGCGAGTGCCACCATCTAAAGGCATTTTCTGGCGATTCACAATTATGCAAAGGGGAACGGATACTCCTAATTTGCGGTTTTGGGGGCACCTTTGGGATATATAGCACAAGTCATAAGTGTTTAAACAGTGACAGATTGTTGTGTTTGAAATGAAACTCCAAAGATAAGATGAATGAACTGTGCTATAATTTAGGGATATGTACAGCGATAACCTTTCGAACCATTTACTGTCCGTGTTCTACCTATTGCCTAGACTTTAAAGGACCACAGTTACATTGCTGCTTAATATCCAGTGTGTTTAAGTCCCGAGACCAAACAACAAAATATGAATCACTGTCTAAATACGTATGAATGCCATTTTATGCCCCTCCCTCCTTTTCACTCAGTGGAGGCTGTCAATATTGTGGCATCATACTGCTTAAAGATTGAGTGTCTTACTCAGTGAGTCACACTGGTGTTTAGTTTAGGAGCCCAGGTGGTTTACTTCCAGCTTAGAATATGACACTGGGTGGCTCATAAAATCTAATTTATGGGAGGGATGTTAGGAAGTACAGAATAGAGCAAAAATGTAGTAAGCTCTCACCTTGTCTTCCTCCATCAAAGAAGGGTCCATATACCCATTCCTACCTTAAAATAAAAGGGATCTTTTCAATTCTCCCCAAGCAGCTCTGGACTGCTTTTATATATTGGACGCTAAATAATGCATTTCAGTTCACTTTAGTACACTTTTATTGGACTTAACTAAATTTGTAGTGACAAGCTTTCGGTGTAATGTAGGGAGTCTCACAGCAGGCACAGTAGAGAGGGTAGTGTTTAAACTGAATTAAATGTTGTTATACATGGTTGTTTGGAGTAGCCATTAATGGTGGCAACCCAATGCCATTCGGGATTTATATATATAATTTTTATTTTTATTTTTTTTATTAAGGTATATATTATTTAACATTTTGGAATATACAAATAAAGAATACCTAAGGCATAGTACATTTTCATAAAGTCAATATGGTAATACACTTTTGTTTGTGGGAAGATTAATACCTTATTTTTAGTATGGCAAAATAAACAGTGCATTAATAACAAAAATGAGTGTAAAAAATGAAAAATGAGGTGTACGATATCAACTCATGGTCTGTCTTCAATTGTGAATCCGTGTTTGATCTAGCTAGGAAATGTTGAAGGCTACCAAAACCTTTAGGCGATACAAGGTAAAGCTAAACAGTTTAGAACAATAGGTAGAAGTCTAATTAACTAAGGCACTTTGTCAGTGGCATGTGTTGGTTAACCCCAGGGTTGTGGGGACTATGTATGATTCATCTTTCTGTGTTAGGGTGTCAATTGACTAATTGTAGGGGTGGGCAATGCACATGGTCAACGTGGGCTTGGTTAAATTAGCTTTGAAAGGTTTCAGTTGCGGTGTTAAGGATACATAGGGTCCAAACACTTTGGTATAATTAGTCTCACACAGTAGAGCAAAAAATCCATTCCGCTATGGACTGGAGATCTTCCATGTGTTGGGACCAGAGTGGTAGAGGTGGTGGATTAGTCAAGAGTAATAAGCCCCTTAACTACATTTTAAGATTTTATTAAACATGGAATAGGAGGTTGAGGTGGTTGTGTGATGTAATAACATGGGAGGTGGGCTGTAAGAAAACCTCTTGAGGAAGGTATGTATCTGTTACCAAAAAGACTAAGATTAGATTAAGGACCAGTCCCTTATGTGTAGCACTGTTTGGAAGACATTGCCAGCAGTGGTTATTAGTTTAGGCAGACTCCTGAACTCCACTAGATATAGCCCATTGTTAAGTAATATCTCAGATCTTTGCCCATAGATTAGGCAAGAGTGGGATAGGTCTTTATTCTTAGTACTGTATTGTATTTTATTTTCTGACAGGTGGAGATTAGTCTGTTAACAATTATATTATTGTATTTGTATTTATTTAAATGATCGCTGTTTATTTAAATGGCGCCCACAACTTCCACGGCACCAAGTACATTAAGCAACGAGTATAGCAGACAGGAACAGATGCAATAAGTTTTCAGAGTCCTACCCACACGCTTATGATAAGTGAATATATATATATATATATATACATACATACAGTTAAAAACAATAGACCATATAACATGTTTCAATGCTGGCAAAGCGTGTACGCGTTCATGCTTGTTCTTGCTTTGCGGTGTAAAGACATGCATGCATGCTTGCGTAGCATTATATGCTTATTCATGCTTGAACATATATTAAAAAAATTATTAAAAAAACTTTCATGGTTACACACCAGCTGTCCTTTGTTTCTCCTTTCTATAGCTTTGTGTTAGCACCTGGATTCCTGCCTATTCAGGAATTAATGCCTTTCTCAATCTGTGCATAGTGCCTGCTTGAATCACGAGAGGCGGTGGGGGTAGATCAGGACAGACTGTCACACAGCCTCGCTCTTACCCTGCCTCAATAAAGATGGACGGGGTGGGACCTGCAAACTGCACTTAGGAAATCCTATCCCACCTGTTCAATGTCTGTCTCAATCCCTGTACCGGGGATAACTAATAATGGGTTGTTATTAGACCCTGACAGGCAGAGGAGAGTGTCATGAATGATTTATGTATGCTGCTTTTCTATAAAAGCCTCTTTGGACTTACCTTTCGTATATATTAGTCTTATCTGTGTTTATATGGCTATCAGTGCATTAAAAAAAAAAAAAATGTATATTTTTGGGGGGACCTCTGAGTGGAAAGAGCTAGTTAGATACCAGCATGTAAACAAAGTTCTGAGCTTTGGAGGTATCAGTCACTTTATATTGTTTTGTTGACCTTTTTAGCAATGGAACATTGATAAGAAAGCCCTGGTAAATATTTTAGGAAATACTTCTTCTTTCACAGTGAGTCAGTATAATTTTAATACGTGTCTGAGTTGGTGGTTTTATCCAATGATCTAATGTAATAAATCTGTTGTAATAGACCCAGTTTAGATTTCTTTTGCCTGTTCTTTCTTCCTCTGCAGTCCAACAAGGTCCCAGTGGTTCAACACCCACATCACATGCATCCACTTACGCCGCTGATCACTTACAGCAACGACCACTTCACACCAGGGACACCTCCTGGGCACTTGTCTCCTGAAATAGACCCCAAGACAGGTGAAGAGCAGGCTTGTGTACGTTTAGAGATTTGTGTGTTTAAATTAGCAAAGCTATATTAACTTCCTATAATCCGTAGGAATTCCAAGGCCACCTCATCCGTCAGAGCTATCTCCATATTATCCATTATCTCCTGGCGCTATGGGACAAATCCATCACCCTTTGGGTTGGCTAATGCCACAGTAAGTGCTTGATGTGCTTATGTAGAACTTGTTGGTACTTTGCAGGGTTTTTTTTGTTTTGTTTTTGAGGTCCTAACTCTTTGCTTTGTGTTCCAGACAGGGTCAGCCCATGTATTCTATCCCTCCTGGTGGCTTCAGACATCCTTATCCTGCTTTGGCAATGAATGCCTCGATGTCCAGGTGAGGATTGTCTTTGACTTGCTCAGTCACTCTCTGTGAATGTATGGCAAATACATTCCAATAGTCCATGCACAGACTTACACAGTGCTAAGCTAGCAAAGACCCTGCACAATTCTTGCCAGCTGCCTCACTCCTGCAGTGCTATTCCCCAAAAAATCCCATGCAAATCCTGATATTTAAATACACAGAAGAATAGTGTGAGGTTGCAACTCCTAACCCCCATGCCAGCCTTACCATGCTTGTGTTCTGAGGGGTAATAGCCCCCCCCGCCTCCCTTATCAGCCATCTCACTCAGATTGTAATTTCCCTTATTTAGGGAGTCTGTGCGGTTATTTCTGCATTACTATGTGATAGTGAGTAGGGGGAAATTAAACTGCATTTTATATAGTCAGTCTTTCCCTGCATAAATAGGAAAGTGATTGTAATGCATGTGTTTTTTCCTCTGGAACATAATTTTTATGTAAAAATATTGAATCAATCCCCAGCCCAATACAATCCATATGACTCTGAGTAGATTGCCTTTTACTTAACCTAGCTGATTTGGTATGTTTTTCTACTTATCCAACAGAAACTATTTTCTTGTAATTTCCTTGCTAATTTTGAAAATTTCCTTTTTTCTCCTCTTAGTTTGGTTTCCAGCCGCTTTTCTCCACATATGGTGCCCCCTCCTCCTCATGGTCTGCACACCTCAGGGATCCCTCACCCTGCTATTGTCTCACCTGTTGTAAAGCAGGAGCCATCCTCTGGAAATTTAAGTCCAAACCTCAACCAGTAAGTGTCCTGTATTATGCCCCAGGAGCTTGTCTTAGGGAGAGTTTATGTTTTTGTTTCTAAACAGGCACATATTACAGTTTCACATTAAACACGCATTCCAGATCTTCTTTGCATGTCAAGTTATTCAGTGAAGGCTTGTGGTAATCACATAATCTCCCTCTCCTTCACTTAGCCTTCCTTGAGAACATGCAGAACATTATTAAAAAGATGGTGGGAATAAGCAAATGATTGTGTTTTCAGATTCCCAAACAATTTAGTGTACACCATCCCTTTTTATAGTTGAAATGCTTGATTATCTTATAAGATTAAGATATCTTGAAGATGGTAGAAATGTGCATAGCTTTCTAGATGCGTGCTGTGTAGTTCAGTATGTGATTATGATGAGCTAACACGGAAATGGTGGTTAACAATAAGGTACCTTCACTGTGGGTGGGAAAAAAAGTAGTGTGTGTTTGTGTATATATATATATATATTTCTGAATTCCTTTCATGATTACTCATATTCAAATATTACTTTGCATTTTGGTTTTAATTAGAGATTTTAAGGAAAGTTGATACATAAAGGTAAAATACATCTGACACACTTTAACCTGTGGGTAGTTGTTCTCTCTCTCTCTCTGTTGAATAGACCCTTCACATGTGCTCCCACAGTAAATGGCTTACTGCAGCAGTGATGCCGAATGTATTTAGTATGTATTAGAATGGATGGGGTCGCTGAGTTAATTTTCCAGGCTAATGCCATGTACTTCATTTGGAACCCTGTCAAACAAAGGGTTACTCCAGGCACCATGAACATTTCAGTGTTTTGAAGTGTTCATGGTACTTGGAGTTGATATTTGCAGCGTTTAAGAAACGTTGCACAGAGATATAAAAACATTTTGCTATAGGTGTGAATCCACCTCTAGAAGCATTGTTAGCCTCCTTTGTTCCAAGCTGGCTAATGCTGGTGCATAAAATACATCCATCAGCATGTATAGCATGCTGCAGACAGATGTCCAATGGAGGAATGGGCCTCTCCATTGGTTAGAATAATCCTTTAATGTTTATAATATGCTTACGAAATAGAATGTGCAAGTCTAAATAAAATGGCAACTCTTCTCCAAATACAGTAAAGGTTCTATAAATCTATAACTTATTATTTTACTTAATTGAATTGTCTGAATTACTCACTATACACAAGCTTGCCAACTTCTGTTGTTTTCCATTGTTTTGATAATGTAATGTTGCAACTGTAGTTTGTGGATTGGTTGGAATGTTGTTCTCATTCTTGAACTCTCTGGTTCTACTGCAGAAAGTCCAATGTGGTGATAAAGAAGGAGGAAGAGAAGAAACCACATATTAAGAAACCCCTAAATGCCTTTATGCTGTATATGAAAGAGATGAGAGCCAAAGTTGTTGCAGAGTGCACATTAAAAGAGAGCGCAGCTATTAACCAGATTCTTGGCCGCCGGGTAACTGCATTTGCTACTTTTCTGGTCTAATTATTTGCTCAGTTTTATTTCTTATAAATGTGGTCTTGTTTCTGCTGATCTAGATTATTCTATTTATTTTTTAAATGTGATTTCCCTGTTTCTCACTGTAATAACTGCATGGAAGTGCTGCATGATGTTAAAGGGGGACACTATAGTCCCCAAAACAACTTTAGCCAAATGAAGTAGTCTTTGTGTATAGATCATTCCCCTATACTCTCACTGCTGTCTCCGTTGTTTTGGTGACTATAGTGTCCCTTTAAAGTGTATTTGTAATGGCATACAAGTTTATCTTGTTTAAAAGTGCTTTACATTTCATTTCTGAATGGTGCTTGCAAAATTGCTAGCAAATGTGTAGATTGGGAGGAATTGTTATTTATTTCTATGATCTATTCATTGCCTTTTGGGTATTTCACTTAAAGGGAACTTGTTATTTTTTATCCTAGTGTCTGCTCTCTAGCCTAAAATGACATTTTCAAAATATTGATGTACTGATGATCTAGCGCTCTAGTTTCAGACATTTTGAATATGAATTCAGGCTAAGGGGATTATAAAAGGTAGCATATCTGTATGCAAGGCATGAAAGGGACCATGCTAGACATGGCAGTTCCATTTTATAGCATTGTTAATTTTATCTATACTTTTATTGTGCAAGCTGTACCTCTAGTAACTGTATAGACAGACAAAGGTTAATATGTTTAAATTAGTAATAAGCTTTTATTTTTATAAGTAATAAGTATTTGTCCTGACAAACAATCTTTTAATCAATATATTTTCAATATTTCACCCATTTGTAGGCCTTGTAGATTACAACATCTTGAAAGTTGTGTGCAATTTAGCTCCACTTAAGATGGCATCAGACTTATAAAAGGGGACCATTTCTAACACAGTTGTTATACTTGATTTCTCTCATTTTAGTGGCACTCATTGTCACGGGAGGAACAAGCCAAATACTATGAGTTGGCACGAAAAGAGAGGCAGCTTCACTCCCAGCTTTACCCTACATGGTCTGCACGGGACAACTATGTAAGTAACAATGAAGATAGACATGGTCTACTTTGTGGATTATGCTCATAAAAAGCCTAACAACCCATTTTCTTATTTCAGGGCAAAAGGAAGAAACGGAAGAGAGAAAAACAGATACAGGAAGGTGATCGTAAGTATGGTTTAAACTATGAAACCTACTAGTTATAACTCCATCCTTAGCTGACCTAGAGTAATATTGAGGACAGTGGCCATGCTTTCTTCTAAACTACGGTACAGTTGGCCTTAATTTATAGCCAATCTTGCCTTCATTGCAGCCCCTCCTCTTTTTAGATCTATTCTATATTACCATGTCTCCTTTACATGTACTTCACGACACTTCAAAAAAGATTCACGATTTGGGAAAGACACCAAGCCATTCTCAGAGTGCAGGAACATGGTAACCTGGACATAGCTCTTCCAAAACTTTTGACCGTCTATTAATGTGGATTTTGCCCTGTGCTTTCAGTCTTCTCATATATATATTTTTTTCCCTCTTGCAGATGCTTCTAAACACAAAAAACTTTGTGTTCAACACCTACCAGCAGATAAATCTTGTGACAGTCCGGCCTCTTCTCATGGAAGCATGCTGGACTCCCCAGCCACTCCCTCTGCAGCATTGGCCTCTCCAGCAGCCCCTGCCGCCACCCACTCCGAACAGGCCCAGCCGCTCTCCCTCACTACCAAGCCTGAATCAAGATCCCATATTTCTCTCAGCCACTCTGCTGCCTTCCTGGCCTCCAAGTCCCCTCCGTCCACTCTTTCAGGGCCCATGTCCACCTCTGTGGGTTCTCCATTGATCTCTCGCCCTATCCCTCTCACATCCTCCATGTTGTCTCCAGGAATCTATCCTTCAGCTCTGCAAGCACTACCCTTGCTGCAGGCACAGCCGCTTTCTTTGGTGACCAAATCCAGTGACTGATGTGACCGTACTGTATTGCCTAGGATACATTCACAATTAGTAGTCCTTTGCAGATCTACATATGAATTGCTCCGCACTAGTGTATATATACTGCTGTGCAGATAGGGACATGAATCTGCAAAAGTATATATAACTGTTTATGAATTGGAACACATCTATTTATCCTTCTTTTCATTGGAATATTTCATGCTCTGCTGTTATGGACAACAATTTACATTGGCAGTTGGTGCTTGGAAACTAAGCACACTTCTTTGTCTTGTTGTGTTGTAGGTTTCAATGAATTAAGATGGGTGCAGAAGGAATACTGCTCTTCAGAGAAGCAGCGAGAGGCACTGCTCTGTTAAGCTGCAGAGTTTTGTTCTGCAATAAGAAACGGTTCCATAGTCCAGGGCCTCTGCAGCATGCACATAAGGATTACACACAATGCAGGAAAAAACTAAACTGCTCAGTCCTTTCTTGCCGGCACTCTGCAGATTATCAATCAGGCTTTACCTGCACCCTCCTGCTTTCAGCAACCTCCAACAAAAACTATGGTCGTCGCTAGACCTGCAGGGATTATTGGTCAATATTTGACCTGTCTGCTTCACCCCAGCACTATGATCACGCCCGTCCCTTGTTTGTATTATTGTTTCTAATTGATTCACAGAAGAAAAGAAGAAAAAAACTTTCCTAAATGGCGAGAAGGTTAAACTGCATAAACACATTGCAGAACATGTAAATTGTACATACAAATGTGGAAGATGGAGGTGGGGAGAGCCTAGGCAGGGGGATGGGTGGTGCATGTTTTCTTTTAAGGGAGGGTCTCTCTTTATTTTTTTTTTTTATTTTTTTTTGTATTTTACATCTTTTTAAATTGGGGACAAGGATATGCACATATCATTTCGTTTTAAGTGCTGGTCCGGTGGCAGATGCTAGATGTGTTAACACTTGCATTGCCAGGGTTAATGTCTCCTAAATATATATATATATATATATTTTTATTCTTCTTCTCACTTATTTTGCAGAGTTTTTTTTTCTTGTTCTTTTCAATGTGTGCTGTTTTGTTTTCAGTTTTCTTCCATTCCAATCTTGTCTCAATACAACTAGGGTTCTTTTTTTATTTTTATTTTATTATTTTGATGAAAAACTTCTTGAACAAAAATGTGACCTTTTTGTAACAAAATAGAAAATATATTGTGTTTTAAAATATATGGGGCTATTTTTGTGTTTATTTCCCTTCCTTGTCCAAACCCCTGTACTAGTCTGTGTGTATTTTGATATGGATTGTGGGAGTGAATTTAGGCTGAAATTTGAAAATATTATATGCAATAAATTAAAGGGAATCTCATCATTTCATATACCTGACATGTTTCATGTGTCAGTTTGCATAGGATTTAATGTATTTATTTTTTCTCTGCCTGGTTTCACTTTTAACTTTCTTTTTTAAACTAGGTAAAATATCTAACCTTATACTGTCTCTTTAATGCCATCAATGGCTGAGCACCATAAACACTTATTGTGGAGATTACAGTATAAAGAGTCTCAACCTGCTCCCAAACAGTTTTTTGAGAAGTTTAAAATAGTCATATTTATATTTTCCTTGTAGTATTAAGTGACATGTGTCAGTTCCAAAAATTAAACTTCATAGAGATCTAGAACTATCTTCAGTGACGTGTAATTCTTCTAGAAGGTCTTTTGTAGCTGTGCCCACAAGAACCACCAATAAAATACTATTTAGAAAGCACCAACATATTTGGCAGCCCTAGACACCAAGAAAATAAATTCAACCTTGATAAACTTACATGAACAGGTATTCGAGGCCTTGCACGACCAAATTACACAAAGTATATTTGTAATGTGTATATACTATGCAAAGCAAAAATGAACTGCTAGGTCTACTCCAGCCAACCAAAGAATAAGTGTTTTTTTAGTATAACAATTATAACAATGTTTACTGGTAACCAACCATCACCACCCAAAATAAAATACTGGGGAAGAGCTAACATTTACCTGCAATCCCACACGGAGGCCAATTTAAAAATGGTTTAATTTCAATCAGATGTAGCTTACTTTAAAAGTGTCTATCTAATCTTTTAAATTGGACTTTAAGAACACACAGAAGGCTCCTGCAGGGTCTAGCAAGCTATTAACAGAGCAAGAGATAAGAAATTCTAAATGAGAAATTGAAATAAAGGAGGTGTAAACATTAGATGACTCTGTACAGGAAGTGTTTAGGAAGGCTGTGCAAGTAACATGCAGGGAGGAATGAGTTGGTTAGCATAAACAAAGTGATTTATCTCCTAAATGGTAGAGAATTGATCCGTGAGACTGCAGGGGCGTAAACTGCTTCAGTATGCTAATTTTGTTTTGGTGACTTTAGTGTCCCTTTAAATGCCTTTCTAAACAACCTTTTATATATTTTTTTTGTTAAAGGGATGGGGACCCAGACCACTTTAGCTCACTGCAGTGGTCTGGGTGCTCTGTCCCAGTCTCCTTAACCCTATAATAGTTATTTCAGTTATTGGGAAACTGCAATAATTGCTATCCAGGGTTAACTCTATGTTTAGTGGCTGCCTAACTGATGCTGGACGTTCTCATGCTATGCGTGAGGACATCAGCATCACCCAAAACCCCATAGGAAAGTACTATACAGTGCTTTTCTATGGAGCTGTCCTAATGCACTTGCCGCGTATGTGCATTAGGTACCAGACAAGGAGGGGCCGAGCCCGAGCTAGCACCAATGTCTGATTCAGGTAAGTGACAAAAGGGTTCTGCGCTGGGGGGTACTATAGGGAGCTATAATGCAAGGAGTAAAAGTTTGAATTCCTCGCCAATTGTTTCCCTTTTAAGAGATTTCTTAGGAGAAAATATACCGTATTACTGACTATTAATTCTATAATAATGGAGCAGCTCTAGAATAATATTTAAAGTGGATGCTGGTGGTATGAGTGGAAATAAAATATAAGTCTTTACAGATGCCAGGATAGGCCATACTTGTTGGTGAAATTTTAAAGCACTGTTATTAAAAGCTTTATAGCTAAAAACTGGGACTTTAAAATGTTTCTGACAATTTGTGTAGCGCTAATATAAGGACTTAGAGAGGTGCTATAGGGAGTAGGATATCAAACATAAGGCTTTACGAGTACGCACCATTATTGAGTGTGTTAGAGCGGTGTTCCCTAACCAACAGTCCAGGATTTATGTATTCCCCTGTTTTTATTCCAATGAAGATACTTACAAAACCTGAACTGTTGGTGGTCCATGAGGACTGGGTTGGGCAACACTATGTTAGAGAATCCATATGGAGCAGGATTTTAGTTGCGTTGCGAAGTGGCAGGTTTTGGGTGATTGATTGAACCGAATGGATGTGGAGAGTGAATGAGTTCAGAGGCAGCTCTAAACCTCTAAAAGGACATTGACAAAGGAGAATGCAACTCTTCTTTTTAGGAGATTGAAGCTCAGGAAGCATGTAACAGAGCTATTAACAGACAATCTAATCTGGAACTGCAGACGGACAGCAGACAACTATGCTTGGGATTGCTCAAATTATGTATTCGTTTTCATTGTTGACCAGCATAACCATAAATCTTATGAATTGGCCCAAATTTGCTGATGTGATCTGGAAAACCTCTCTGGTCCTGTCCATTATGCCATTCTTGCTATTCTCTTAGTATGGAAACTTGTGTTTTAATTCTTATTTGAGACAAACTACACACAAATTAGAACAGTTGTCTGTTTCAGTTGGTTAACTTAGTGCATCTTGATTTTGATTTACATGTGGTAATTTCATGTTTTTTTCCTCCCCATCCTACCTGAAGGAAGCTAAAATATTCTGGCAACAGCAGGATTGATCAGACAGGGAGGGCTAGCAGCATGGGCAGATGAAGGATTAATAAAGCATTAAGAAGGCATATGGTGGAACTTCGAATCGTTAACACACTTAACTAACATGTCGCAAAGTAATTCCCGAATTAAAATAATAAAATCACCTATTTTGGAGAAGCACATATTTGCAATAAAACTTATAAACCCTGAATATTGATTTGCTGAACTTTATACAATAGTGTGATGTTTGGGGTGGTTGGTTGCCTCACTTTTATTTGAATATTCAGTAGAGATATGCACAGAAATCTTTGGTTATTCACTGAGGTGAGAATTTAAAGGGACACTATAGTCACAAATACAACTTTAGCTAAATGAAGCAGTCTTGGTGTATTTATCATGCCCTTGCAGTCTCACTGTTTAATTCTCTGTCATTTAGGAGGTAAATCACTTTGTTTATACAGATTTAGTCACACCTCCCTGCAAGTAACGTGCAGAGCCTTCCTAAACACTTCCTGTAAAATGAGATCTAATGTTTATACTTTATTACACAGTCTAATTTAGAATTTATTATCTCCTGCATGGTTAATAGCTAACTAAACTTAGCAGGGAGCCTCTTTTGTGATTAAAGTTCAATTTACAGAGATTTAAAAAAAAAAGTACGTTGTTTTTCTGTTTGTGTTTGTTTGTTTTTTTTCTTTCATGCAGACTAGGCTCTGTCACAACCAGGGAAGATGTGTCTAGGGCAGCATGGACATAAACAAAAGTGATTTAACTCCTAAATGGCAGATAATTGAGCAGTGAACCTGCAGGAGCATGATCTATACCAGTGATGGCTAACCTTGACACCATAAATTGTTTCTGGACTACAAGAATTAATTATGAAAAGACAAATCAAATGAATTTCAAATGATGGGAAAGAGAGGGAAGGGTGGGTGGGTAGAGATTTGAAAGAGCAGTGAGGTGAGAGGAGAAACTTTATGCCACCACCTTTACATTTAGAGTGTCTTGGGTTGTGGGTAAGTTGAAGACCACCAAAGGATAAAGATGCAGGGGTAGCAGTGTCACAGGGGGAGAGCCATGTTTCTGTTAAGGCAAGTAAATCTAGGGAACGAGAGATGAAGAGGTCGTGGACAGTAGTGGATTTTGTAATATTGCAAACAGAGCGTGCATTCCAGAGGGCAGTATTGAAGGAGGATTTAGATGAAGAGTAACATGAGATTGGTGTGGTTCCTTGAGTTGGTACAGGGTGAGTTTGCCGAGATGGGACCGGGGTTTGGAGAGACATCACCAGCTGCTAGGAGCAGAAGGCCTTCCAGAGATGATACCTCAGCTTAGAAGATTCTGCAGGACTTGGTTGCTTGTGCGTGCTGGGTGTTAACCAATGCTATATATATATATATATATATATATTTATGTGTGTGTATATATGATATATATACACTGCTCAAAAAAATAAAGGGAACACTTAAACAACACAATGTAACTCCAAGTCAATCACACTTCTGTGAAATCAAACTGTCCACTTAGGAAGCAACACTGAGTGACAATCAATTTCACATGCTGTTATGCAAATGGAATAGACAACAGGTGGAAATTATAGGTAATTAGCAAGACGCCCCCAATAAAGGAGTGGTTCTGCAGGTGGTGACCACAGACCACTTCTCAGTTCCTATGCTTCCTGGATGATGTTTTGGTCACTTTTGCATGCTGGCGGTGCTTTCACTCTAGTGGTAGCATGAGACGGAGTCTACAACCCACACAAGTGGCTCAGGTTGTGCAGCTCATCAAGGATGGCACATCAATGCGAGCTGTGTCTGTCAGCGTAGTGTCCAGAGCATGGAGGCGCTACCAGGAGAAAGGCCAGTACATCAGGAGACGTGGAGGAGGGAAACAACCCAGCAGCAGGACCGCTACCTCCGCCTTTGTGCAAGGAGGAACAGGAGGAGCACTGCCAGAGCCCTGCAAAATGACCTCGAGCAGGCCACAAATGTGCATGTGTCTGCTCAAACGGTCAGAGACGGACTCCATAAGGGTGGTATGAAGGCCCGAAATCCACAGGTGGGGTTTGTGCTTTCAGCCCAACACCGTGCAGGACATTTGGCATTTGCCAGAGAACACCAAGATTGGCAAATACGCCACTGGTGCCCTGTGCTCTTCACAGATGAAAGCAGAAACTCTAAAAATGTAATCTATATGATTTTTTGTCCTTGTGGCTTTCAGTATATTGGCAAAACATCTAGAACACTAAAAATAAGAATCAGGGAGCATATTTATAACATTAACAGGACATTTACCCTACATAGTGTATCAAAACATTTTTTGAAAGTCCATGGGGATAATGCAAATGGTATAGAGTTTGGGGGAAGAAAAGCAGTTAAAGTACATTGGAGAGGAGGTGATATCGAGAGCCTCCTCAGTAAAACTGAGATCAAATGGAGTTTTAATATGGAATCACTGTCTGAATATGGAGACATGGTCTGAATGCAGGTTTTGAAATTAATTCATGTATATAAAAATCTGTGTTTTATATTTCCTCTAAGAGTTTTTATTAAATTATTTTAGTGTATTTATGTTTTTATACTTATAACTATATTTTTTATTTATAACTCCCTTTTTCTGATAATATTCCCTCTACATTTTTTTTTCCTATTAGTAGGTTTATTTATTATGATCGAGGCTTTTGCACTTTATAAATTATAAGGACTTGGCAATAGAGTGGCATCTATTCTTATATCGGACTTTCTAAAATGGCGCCTGCAACACTTCCGGTAAACGGCGCCGAAGTGATGTCATGACGCAATGAAGACATCGGACGACGAAAACGGAAGTAGGAAGGTATGGAAGTTGCGGTGATGGGCGCCAAATTTTTCCTGTATAAAAACAGGTACAGCGGAGATGGACAGACAGCACCACTTGAGGAAGGCTTTATCGCCGAAACGTGTTGTGGCACATTTTATGAATATTTTTCTGTTATTGGTTTTTATTTATATTCTTTTATCTTGTATTGATAAACAAGTATTAATTTGATCCTGTATCCTGGACTAATTGTACAGACTACATCCAGGGAGGATTCATCTAGACCAACACAGAACGTCCTGCTCTAAAAGGTTTATCTCCGCTACAAGCCTATAGTCTGAGTCAGCTTTTTTAAGTGACTCAGCAACATGTGAGTTTAACCAGTTACATATGGGCTTTGCGTACATTTATGACAATATTACCCTATGGTTCTTTTATGTCTTTTTAGATATATGTCCAAGACAGTACTGGTAAACTTTTTATACTGCATGTATTGAATGCTCTCACCATTATTTTTATTTGCACTTTGTAGATTCTTGTGTGTTAAAGTGATTCACACTAGGTGATAGTAGCACCACGATATTATTTGCACTTTTTTCCTAACTTCAACTCCTATTTGTTACAGATGAAAGCAGGTTCACATTGAGCACATATGACAGACGTGACAGAGTCTGGAGATGCCGTGGAGAAAGTTCTGCTGCCTGCAACATCCTCCAGCATTGCCGGTTTGGCAGTGGGTCAGTAATGGTGTGGGGTGGCATTTCTTTGTGCTCGCCAGAGGTAGCCTGACTGCCATTAGGTACCGAGATGAGATCCTCAGACCCCTTATGAGACCATATGCTGGTGCTGTTGGCCTTGGGTTACTCCTAATGCAAGACAATGCTAGACCTCATGTGGCTGGAGTGTGTCAGCACGTCCTGCAAGATGAAGGCATTGATGTTATGGACTGGCCCTCCCGTTCCCCAGACCTGAATCCAATTGAGCACATCTGGGACATCATGTCTTGCTCCATCCACTAACGTCACATTGCAGCACAGACTGTCCAGGAGTTGGCAGATGCTTTAGTCCAGGTCTGGGAGGAGATCCCTCAGGAGACCATCCGCCACCTCATTAGGAGCATGTACAGGCATTCTAGGGAGGTCACACACTACTGAGCTTCATTTTGACTTGTTTTAAGGACATTACATCAAAGTGGGATCAGCCTGTAGTGTGTTTTTCCCACTTTAATTTTGAGTGTGACTCCAAATCCAGACATCCATGGGTTGAAAAACCTGATTTCCATTTTTTCATTTTTGTGTGATTTTGTTGTCAGCACATTCAACTATGTAATGAACAAAGTATTTCAGAAGAATATTTAATTCATTCAGATCTAGGATGTGTTATTTTTGTGTTCCCTTTATTTTTTTGAGCAGTGTGTATATATATATATATATATATCTCCATCTCCTATATATAATGTCATACTAAGTAAACGTGTGTGTATGTATGTATGTATGTATATATATATATATCAACTATATGTATATTATAAAAAATAATTAATTAAAAATAAATATAAAATGTAAAAACAATTAATATATATATGTGTGTAATTTAATTCTAAGAGTATTTTGATATTAATATATATTTGTATCAAAATACACTTGAAATTGTATGAAATTATATATATATGTATGTATAAATAAAAAATATGAAATATACATATGTCCATATACATAATTACATAAATAATTTCTTAAATATGCACGTAGACTTTAAATATGTATATATATTTAAATTCTAAGTACATATTTATGTAATATTTCTATACAATTAAGTAATTATAATGATTGCAATTTGAGGGACCTGCCTGCCAACCCAGGCCGAAAATCCAGGAATTTAATTTGTTAGCACTGTATTTAACCCTGTAACTTTCTATGACACCCTAAAGCCTGTACATGGGAGGAACTGTTTTACTCGGTAGACTACGCTGAACACAAATATTAGTGTTTCAAAACAGTAAAACATATCACAATGATATTGTCAGTGAAAGTGAAGTTTTTTGCATTTTTCACACACAAATGGCACTTTCACTGATGATGTCATTGTTGTAATATGTTTTACTGTTTTGAAATACTAATATTTGTGTTCAGTGAAGTCTCCTGAGTATAACAGTACCCCCCATGTACAGGTTTTATAGTGTTTTTGAAAGTTACAAGGTCAAATATAAGGCCTCTTCTTCACATAGAAACTTGCCAGATTGATTATGTTGCCTTTGAGAGCGTATGGTAGCCCAGGAATGAGAATTATTGCAAAAGAACACCACCCAAGGTATTGCAAATGGGGTATGTTCAGTCTTTTTTAGTAGCCACCTAGTCACAAACACTGGCCAAAGTTAGCATTCATAATAGTTTTTTGCATTTTTAACACACAAACAAATATAAATGCTAACTTTGGCCAGTGTTTGTGATTAAGTGGCTACTAAAAAAGACTGGACATACCCCATATTGCATACCCTGGGTTGTCTACTTTTCAGAAATATTTGGTTTGATGGGGGTAAATTACATTGGACGGCTTACAAAATGTCCCAAATAGGACATGGGTGCATGATGACCAGCTGTGAAAATTCCAAGTTGGAAAACTGGAATGCGCACCCTCCAAATAAGGTATTTTAGCCCCCCTGAGAACCCGACACACCTATACATGGGTGGTATCACTGTACCCAGGAGATGTTGCCGAACACATATTGGGGTGTTTTTTGGCAGTAACCCTTAAAGTTCTCAGTACATGTATTCTTAAATTGCTATCTGTGTCAAAAAAAAAAAAATCACCAATTATTATAATTTTTTTGTTTTAATTTGGCATAGATTGGTGGTAAAATGGTTGCATGCAAAAAGTCAAAATGCCCAAAGTTTTAATACCTTAGGTTGTCTTCTTCTAAAAAAATATATACATGTTAAGGGTTATTCAGGGATTCCTGACAGATATCAGTGTTACAATGTAACTTCATTTTGAAAAAAAAATGGTTTGGAAATAGCAAGTGCTACTTGTACTTGTACTTATGACCTTATAACTTTCCCAAAAAAAGCTCAAAACATGTTGATATTGGGTATTTCTCAAAACTCAGGACAAAATTTAGAAATATTAATCATGGGTGTTTTTTGGCGATTGTATGATTTTGGGGGTCAAAGTTTGAAAAAGTGTGTTCTTTTTACAATTTTTCATCATATTTAATTAAAAAAAATTATAGTAAATTATATGATATGATGAAAATAATGGTATCTTTAGAAAGAGGGTACAGTGTGGGTACAGTAAATGAGTAAGAAGAATATTACAGCTAAACATAAACACTGCAGAAATGTAAAAAGAGCCCTGGTCCTTAACGGTAAGAAAATTAGAAAACGGTCTGATCACTAAGGGGTTAATAAAATGAGCAAAAACATTTTAAACTGCCAGAGATGTCAAGCTAAGACATTAACCAGCTTCCGGCAGGTGACCAATCTGCATGAAGTGCATGATTCTCTATGAGACTTATGTATACCATACCTCCAAAGTTCAGAGAATCGTGATGCCAGTTGGAGGGGAGCAAAAGGGTGGAACAGTGATGCAATTACATCACTGCCTCCACCCACCTTACTGGCAGGTCATCCCACTGAGGGCTGATCCTGCGGGTAGCACTGTTTCTGTGCTCCCTGCAGGGTCTTAGTGTCCTGAACATAGAACAATTGAGTCTAGTAATACGCTTGCACTATGCTTGTGTGGGACAGTTCCCTGTTGTCCCAAAAATTGGGACTGACCCGCCAATATCGGGACAGCTGGGAGGCATGTGCACTGTCAGTACATCTAAACTATAAAGAATGTTATTTCTGTTTGCAATGCTATGGTACTATTTGTAAACTGAAATGCAGATTAGTATTAGAAATCCCATTTGCCTGTGAAGTGAGCAGGTCTACTAAAAAGCACTTCCATTTTCCAGTGCACTCACAAAACCGAGCTTTCAATGTGCTGTTTAATAGAGATACCTCAGCACAAGTAATTTCTACTGCATTTCAGTTAGAATTGGTAATATAGCATTGCAAATTGAATTGCCTATATAATAGACTCCTCCCACACAGAAACACACATACCCATCACCAGTGGTGTATCCTGGTTTTGTGCTGCCCTAGGCAGGACAAAACTCAGGCACCCCGCGCCACCCACACCCAACCCTTCCCCCGCCCCACCTTCTAAATACAGACATACACAGTCAGACACACACACAGTCAGACACAAACACACACACACAGTCAGACACACACACAGTCAGACACAAACACACACAGTCAGACACAAACACACACGGTCACACACAAACACACACACCGTCACACACACACACAGACAAATACACACACACACACAGTCAGACACACACACACACACAGTCAGACACAAACACACACACACAGTCACACACACACAGTCAGACACAAACACACAGTCAGACACAAACACACTCCTCCCACACAGAAACACACTTACCCATCACCAGTGGTGTATCCTGGTTTTGTGCTGCCCTAGGCAGGACAAAACTCAGGCACCCCGCGCGCCAGCCACACCCAACCCTTCCCCCCGCTCCACCTTCTAAATACAGACACACACACACATACACAGTCAGACACATACACAGTCAGACACACACACACAGAGTCAGACACAAACACACAAACACACACACAGTCAGACAAATACACACACACACAGTCAGACACACACACACACACAGTCAGACACAAACACACACAGTCAGACACACACACAGAGTCAGACACAAACACACAGTCAGACACACATACAGACACACACACACAGTAAGACACAAACACACTCCTCCCACACACAAACACACTTACCCATCACCAGTGGTGTATCCTGGTTTTGTGCTGCCCTAGGCAGGACAAAACTCAGGCACCCCGCACGCCAGCCACACCTAACCCTTCCCCCCGCTCCACCTTCTAAATACAGACACACACACACATACACAGTCAGACACATACACAGTCAGACACACACACACAGAGTCAGACACAAACACACAAACACACACACAGTCAGACAAATACACACACACACAGTCAGACACACACACACACACAGTCAGACACAAACACACACAGTCAGACACACACACAGAGTCAGACACAAACACACAGTCAGACACACATACAGACACACACACACAGTAAGACACAAACACACTCCTCCCACACAGAAACACACTTACCCATCACCAGTGGTGTATCCTGGTTTTGTGCTGCCCTAGGCAGGACAAAACTCAGGCACCCCCTGTGCCACTCCCACCCAACACTTCCCCCCACCCCACCTTCTAAATACACACACACACAAACAGTCAGACACACATACACCAGTCACACACACAGAGTCAGACACACACACACAGAGTCAGACACAGACACACACACAGACACACACACAGACACACACACACAGTAAGACACAAACACACTCCTCCCACACAGAAACACACATACCCATATCACCATGCACACAAAGGACACCTCTGACATTTTACACACAGAATCACACACCTCTTCAATGACAAGGATCCCAGACACAACTAGTACTGGGAGCTCATCAGGCTGTGCTGCTCTCCTGGTGCTCTGCTTATTCTGTGATTATAAATGCCATTGCAACTGACATGTTGGTTATAATTATAGATCTCTCCTAGGACTTGTGTGCTAAACAGTGACTTCATAGCCTGGTGCATACATGAAACACTGAAAGCACTGTTTACAGAACAGCAAACCGGAACAGACAGACCTATAGAGAGAGAGTCTCTGGATATCTGCTTGTCATGTGTCCTCCATGTCATGCTGGACACTACCTGACATTCATATGAGTCCAGTGCTGTCAGTAGCAGAGTTGTATCCGTACAAGACTAAGGAATGATGTATTTTAAAATAGGGGCTTGGCTAAGGAGACAGGTTTATAGTGCGGAAAGCTGCAAAAAAAGTTTTGTTTTTATTTTGCAAATGTTATCCATGTTTGAGTATGAAAAAAATCCCAGCATATTAAGGAAGTCCAAACAAAATCCATTGGTTGTTTATGAGCCAAAAGTGTCTCTTTAAATGAGATATCTGTGAATTATAACTAATTGCTAGAGGTTATAGTGCCATTAGCCTACGTTGTCAACCCCCAGTTCTTAGTCCCCCAATGGCTGGAATTTCAAGTGCAGACACGCAACCTCTGCATTAGCAATAACCATTTCAGCTATATTTTAAATGTAAAACTATCCATTGGTTGAAAGAGTCAGCTGATGTGGCTATTGACTAAGAATTGGGGAAGTGGGATGACTCCAGCGGCCTAA